TTCAAGACTTTATGTAACTGTTTCGAAGCAAAATTTAGTAAAATAGAATAGATATCGATATAATATTATCTAATTTAGAAAAAATAGCGAATTACAGAATCGAGCAACCCCCTCAAGGACATTATAACGATTGTTTGGAATAGTATTATTATAACGCATGAACCCGAAATATCCGACCGTCCGAATAGAGCTTCCTGTCCAATATAAATTAAGTAGTCTATGACCTCAACTATCGCATATGTCGTAATAGGCAGACTACGGCCATGTCGATATTACTAATCTATTAGAATCTATGTAGATTAGCCTTGACTAAGCTTGACAATATTGATTGAGGGAATAAATTCATCTTTTACCGAGACGAAATAGGCAAAGAAGGTGATTTTGGCTGCCTTAAATTATAATATAAGTGATGTACCTGGCAGTAGATTAAAATATCTGATCAATGTCTTAGCCTTTATGAAGAGAGACCTTGGTACTCAATAGCACAACAATATTATCTATATCATTTTGAAAATAGTTCGTATTTGTATCCTGTGAAAGGCCTGTAATTGCCTCTGTACTGCTATGTATACTCAAGCTATCTGATCGTCTGAAACTGTCTACTTGGTACTTTAGTTTTGTCAAATCTACTCGGTACAAAAATAAAACTTGTTTTCTCCTGCTAATATAGGACTACGAGTCGTATAAGACCACTATTACGACGTGACTTGTATGCTGATTGAACCGACCGTACATGTACCAGTGACTGTTGGTTTAAGTTAAAATTTTAAAGAAATAAAATATCTTAATACTGTGGTAAAATGTAATAGAAACATCAAGAGCTAATTGATGTTTATGTGGAATTTGAGCCAAATTTAATGTAAACGTTTTGAAAATTTAAAAGATCCAATTAAATGCTGCACTATGGCTGAACAGCTTTCAACCAGTATACAGTAGAGAGCCCGCCAGGTCCCTAAAACACTGGTCTAATATTGCATATATCCTGGTATGGACTTGTCTAATTTATTTTGTATGCAGTTTAACTATTACGTCGAGTTCGGCGCGATTTTCGTTGTCATTTCTGCTCTAGCATTAAAAATAATTAGATATAAGAAAGAGAAAGTTAACGTGAAATTTACACCTAATCTATGCGCGACTAATCAATGCGCGCATTCCTAACGCAAATGTTAGCATTTTAAATTAAATGACTAAATAAAGTATGTGTTATAAAATTGCAAAAGTATGTTTTATGTTTTGATTACAAGATTTTAGACATGTATTTAATATCGATCTACTAGTAAATATTCAACATACATGTATAACCTGAATTGAAGCTTTAATTTACTATCGGAAAGGGGTCTATTCTTAGCACTAGCATATTTGTCCTTTAATTTACTGTCGGATAGGGATCTATTCTTAGCACTAAGATATTTGTCTAGGTGAGTGTTAAATATTAAATTCTTAATTAGATACTTTTTGCTACAGTCTTGCGAATTGTATAATTCCTCTTTAAAATTGATCTCTTTATTTTATATAGCTAAGTTTCAGAAGGAATAAAACAGGCATTGCTAGGAATGAGCCATTTTCCTAAATATCAATAGAATGTTAGGCGCCGTTGATTATCAACAAATATTGTTCATAACGAACTTCACAATATTTAATAATTATAAAGAAATGAATATCAATGCCATAAATACTTGTAATTGAAGATATTAAACCTTTAGTTTTATAGCCTAGAATAGAGCAATCCGATATCTTATATGAGGCTACGGCAATGTATAAATAGCTAATTTACTGAAGCAGTTAATTCATAAAATCAACACATACAGACAGTATATTATATAGCCACCTAATCCTCTGTTATCTTACGGTACGTTGTTTCGTGTATCTAATTAGTTTTTTTCCGGTAAAATACTGTTCGCTGTTATTTCTTTGAATACACCATACTTTAATGTTTTAATTATAGAGTTTTCATCAATAAAACATTAATATTCGACTATCTCGAGATTGCAATATTTTGACGTAAGTCCTTCTTATGCAGGAAATTGAAAGAAAAGCTAGCTACAACATTATTGATTTGCACTAGCTTGAGTTTAAGATACACCTTCGTATAATCTCTGTTTGATTATACGGAATACTTGTTTTTTTTTTTCATCCTGTCTCTACTGGCTTATTATTTTTGCATAGCTATAATTAAACGGTCTAAAATTATAGAAAGGGTCCTAAAGCATCCTAATATACAAATAATGCAAGTGTGCGGTTTCATCATCCTTGTTACAAATCTACAATTTCACTGTATTAGATTTGTAATCAAGTACTACTTCTAGCCTTTCTCTAAGTTAATTACCCTATAAATTAGTTTCATAATATAGAGGCTAAAAATAGTTTATAACTTAAAATTTAGTTTCAAGTATGTATTACAATAGTAATGCTTATATCATGTAACTATGCACATCTAGCTCTCTATATATCGACTTAACTCCTCTACAGTCTAGCTTAAGGCTACAGCTATCGTCTCTACAATCATACACTAATAGTAGGCGACTATCTTAATGCCTAAAAGTAATCCTTGACATCACTTGTCTACTCAGGTCTAATGCTACCATCTTACTTAAGATTTTTTCAGCGTTTGTGGTGTATGGATTCTTAAACCTACATACTATCACTGTATTTCCCTAACACATAACTACTGTAATTAGCTTAAATCATTACAGGATCTCACTATAGAACCTGTTTTGTTACAAGATAAAAATTATTATACTGTTCCACACAGTTCTTTACTGCAAACTTTTACTCTACCTTCAAAACACGCACTACTGTAATTAGATGAAGTCACTCCAAAGCAATTTCTATCAATATAGGACCATTCGGCATCTGTTGCATTAGTACAAATTCGAGGAGGAAGCAAAAAAGTAGTTATCGCATACTCGTATAATTGTCATCATTATGCCAATTGATGGAGATAGGTCTGCTATAACGGCTATATGTGCGTAGATTTAAGATTTCATAGTAAAATAATCAAAGATACTTCTGTTCCAGAAAAAATATACAGTATATCGTACTGAATGCAAACTTTCGGCACATGTAAAATTGTAAATACAGCTTAGTCATTTGTTAACGTTTTAAGTAAGATCATACTTTCTAAACTAAATATCAAGACATGGAACAGGGTAATGATTTTTGGACGTTATCGACAATGTGTGATATATTATATTTGATAATACTGAATTATAATTATGAGGCATTTACACTCTGTATCGGACACAGCCTGGAGTTCGTGGCCTGCGACCGATTTCCAGACCAACATGAATTATATTTTCTGACGAATCTTAGAGAGTTCTGCATCATCACAGATTACTCAACAAAACTTTCCCTCCCCCTTCATCGTTCCAGCATTACTGAAGCTCCTATTTTTCTATACTGTTCCTGTTACTGCCGCTAGTTCAAAGAAATTGTTGAGTAAAGTTAGGTTAGATTGGGACTTTGGCTTGTGGCATGGGTACGAAGTACCGTAGTTTTAGTTGAGGAAATTTTTTGTTAAGTGGTCCTTGGCATCATATACCTCTGAATTCAAGAAATTCTTAACTTATATTAATGAAAGGACTGAATTTTAAAGATAAATCGTGGTTAGCAAGCTCCCAATTACTAGTATACCTTTAATATTAAATGGAGACTACAGATATGGAAATTAATGATCGTCAATACCTCTATCGCCATGAATCGTTTTATTGATTTATCCTCAAATTCAATAAGCCTCAAATGCTAATGTGAATTGCTTACATAACACCAAGTAGTGCAGTCACAAATTTTTATGATATACCCGCATTCAAAATTGGTTAATGATTCATAACGACCTAGTGTGTTAATGAGAAAAGGTAAAGATTAAAGTTGGAATCTTATAAGAAAATAAATATGAAATCATTTTACACTTTTACGATTTAAATGACATGCTCACAAAATTATACATACTTGCTCATCACATTATTCCTACACGCTTTTAACGTATAGGAGGGAATCATGCGTAACATATAGTGCCTACCAGTACGGTATATCTATCTACACGTCAAATAAGAGCCATTTTCAAAAAATCGATTATTTTATATAAAATTCAAGGATATACGATTTTAGCAACACTCACGTAGGCAATATTTACTGTATTTACGGTGCACTTGCTATTATCCTATATTTGCAGTAAAATCATAAAGACGGTAATTTGAAGCACACCGACGCTATTTTATTATTTATTTTACAGCGTAAGAAAAATCCTAGCAACAAAATAGTAGAGTATCGCTATTAGAGTATAGACAATGCCATCATAACCGTAGCAACACTACAAAAATTGAAATTATTCATAAAAGCCATACAAAAAAGATTTGAGGGAATCTATCCTCAACCTCATAAATACAACAGTTGGGTATATGTAATAGCACGCATTTTAATACTACAGTCCCGTGACCATAATGATGACCACACGACCGTAGGTATTTGCTGATATTAAGAATGTATTAAGGCAAGACAGATTAACAACACATCAGCAATTCTTTAAGGTACAAACGAATAGTAAGATAACTCAAAACTTTGCACACATTATAATCATGTTAGTAGCAGGTGTTATGACAATACATACCGGCACGTATAGACAAAGTAGATATGGTACACATACAAATTTTTTCATCACATAATTGAGTGCAGTAGTAGAACAGCATCAAAAACCCAGACAGCTTCATTATTTTTGAAGTTGTCTGCGACGAAATGGCATATTAATATATCATCATACCATACCAAAATTATCTTAGTATAAAGAGATTTAATCTGAAGATTTTGCAACACTATACAGTAGTTATCCAGTATTCAAGTATGGTAGCAATAAGTTACTGATGCTTTATTTATCTCACTTATTACTTATCGACATCTATCAAATGTAGGAAATAAGAAGATGTCAACAACTCAGTAGAAAGTAAAATGTACCTTTCTTTTAAATGTAATTTTAAGATATACAAGAAATTTACATCATGCACAAATTAGAAAGCAGTTTCATCAAAACTAAAATCATCCATTAAGGCAGGATCTTCTTTATCATAAGAAATTTCCTTTTCATCATCATATCTGTCGTTAATATCGGTGGTAAAGCTGGCATGCCTTCTCTTCTTGCAAATAATATCACTTATGTTATTAGGCAAATTACTAGGTAATGTTCTTGTTCGATTACGCATCATCAAGTCTTCGACAACCTGGTCGTAGTAATTTTCCATATCCAGCCTTTGCCATACGTTTTGGGTGATGATAGATGTTAAACGAGTTATCTTCATTTCATTAATCGTTATCCGCATTAGCATTAGTTCATAAGATAAATCGGCATCACCCCGGCGAATCGTATTCTTCTCGTAGCAAAGAAGAAATTAAAGCGTTAAAAGGGGTAAACAGAAGCTATTAACTCCAAATTACCGCAACTCGTCAAATTGCTAGTATCGCAATAACCCTTAGACGATTCTTTTTTGTGTGGTTTTCAAGCTGGTATCATCGTTTGGAAAATTTTACAGTATAATCGAAAAATATTTTTCTATCGGCGCTACTTTTGCCGTGCCCGAACTAACTCTAAGTAGTAATCTGTACGGTGAACTGCTAGGCAACTTAATTATAACTAGTGGATATCATTTGCTTCTTGCTAATATCAAGTACTGTAATTCTATAATTGAAATCATAATATTGCGTAAATGCTGTGTAACCAGTGTCATGGATTACAGTGAGAATGTACAACAGCATGTTAGGGCAAACAGTAATAATTAGTCTTCCACTTTATAGAAACGTTGATTCAATTCATATCGAACAAGTGATTACTGTACAGGATATATATATATTTACATACGTGACACTATGAATTAGAGTAAATGACTTCAGTCAAGCAGAGCTTTCGCTGTATACGTTGTGTAATCGTAACTTCTATATACATAAAATACAAGATCCTTTGAATAGCGAAATCCTTCTTTCACGTAAGAAAAAAGATCTTGAAGAAGTTGATACCTTACGACGGTAAACTAATATCGCGCGATGGCCTTATGCACATAAAGTCAACAAGATGATGACACTTATGTTTAGGCATTCATTGAATTTCACATTAAAGTTGCCTAAAACTTAAAAATTTGACAATTTTTCCCCCGTTTCGTTAAATTTAGCTTTCAAGATAGAATACGAGGTCATTCGGCAATACTTCATTGGATAATGGACAATGATAGAGGTTCAGCGTGACTAAGTACTCACCAATTCGTGAGTAATCCAATCCAGGGCTTGTTTAATGTTTTTTTTCCTTTCTGTAAAAGATAGCGATCGATCCAGAGGTGGCACTGGCCAGCCATGATCATGATAACGTTGTGACTTCAAAGCGTTGTCCATGGCCGACTAGCCAGTACTGGAACAGGCAATTCTTTATAAAACGACTTCATTTGCTATACTCGGGATGTCGTGAGACCATGGCAACGACGTCATCGGTATTGACGGATAATACCATACCAATTATTCTATTTACTGTCAAACAATGTCTGAGTAGAAATGGCTGATGAAATAATAATAGAACACTAAATCAATACGTTATACTCAACTATATTTATTCCTTGATTAACTGAAGAAATAGGCGATATAGTCCTGTCGACTATACTGTATTTTAATACAATTTGGTAGCTGAAGGAGAAATACAGTGCATAGTGGGTCAAAGCTTCATTTTACAAAGGTTCTGAAATTGAATATTTTTTAATTTGTAATCTATATTTTCATCTGGCTGTAATGTTAACGAAAAGTGAGTAAGTGAACGTTCGTATGGAGCACAAATGTCTCTTAATAAACGATCACCCATAAAATAGGCTTATAATTTGCTTTAAAAAATGAATACACACCTCGAAATCAAAAGTTATAAGTTTTACCACTACTGTTCATACTGACGTTGGCCGGGCCCACATGAAAGTGTACAGTATGAGCCAGAGACCTCCATTTGTATTATTGGTATACGTGACATATATATCCCCCCAACATTAAGGACGAATGCAGCAATTTTGTAATCGAGTTTTCAGCCAACGATGAATCGAACTTGCTCCTACTGTAATATTGGATCAACAGTAATATCCGACTCCTACAGATTTTATAATTTTGAAGTCAAGATTGCAATAAAGCAGTAGGCAATGTGCCTTTGCGATCCAGCTCTTACTGTTACTGATGTCTACTCTATAACTACAGTATAGTAGGTAGAAAAGTGGCCACTAAATAAACTTTGGATAATCCATTTCCATCGACTTTCCATTATGATTGAATGGTGACGAATTTATCCTCTCATAGTATCAACAGTACGAAAATACTATAAAAGTCTATAAAAATAGCAGGAGTCGGATATTACTGTGGATTCGCTAACCTTACTTCCTGTGAATTATTGTGCTATTGTGACATTGAAAGTACGTCCGAAGAAGGAATGCAGATTAATTATAATTACAGTACTGGCAGGTAATCAACGCCAATATGAAGACATTTCTTTATGAAGGAATACCTTTTAAAAATCATAACTACATCCGCGTACAGCATCCTGTAGTGGGTACTGTTAGAAGCATTATGTAATCATTTTGTCCATGAGTCGGGCTGACCATGTGACGGGAGTCGAGAATAAACTGAACTCTATTGCAAATAAAGAATTGCAAAGAAAATACTGAATGAATTTGCTAGGAATACGTCTCGATTTGATTCTCAAACTGTATAATATATTGCTATGTCTAATGTACTGTACAAGTACTGTAGGGTACTCACCACTACCGATAGTCCTTATTTTTCTTTCAGTGTACGAGTTTTGATTGAGTGTGGACTATGGCAAGAGATTTTTCTTTCTTTCAGTTTGTTCCTATGGGCTGACTAGCTGAGCCTGCGGTTTATGTACTTCTCCGTTAAGTTTAGGAAATGTACTGAACCAGACTGAATCAGATCGTGATAGTCAGAATGGATGAAGAAAAGTTTTGTAGTATTAAGTTAATCGGGTATCCTTTCTGACGAATAGTGCAACAATTATTACTCTTAGCTTATCGATCTGCGAAGTTAGGAGATATCAATGAATACAGTATTTTTTCTGTTAACTCTTCTTAAGACTTCTAACGAAAACGAGCTAGTTTACCTATGGTTGCCTGGTTATGTCTGTTAAGCTATGGTGCAGTAGTATGACTGATATTCAGGGACTTGACGTTGGGCATATTGATGAAAGATTAAAGATTATACAGTATTAACTGTAAGTTAAGGATTAAGATTAAACTAAATTAAATTAATTAACAGTAAATGACAGCATGGCAGGAAAAGATGAGGTGGAATTCATACGCAGTTAATTGGCTAAAATTTGAACGGGATAAACGAGGGATTACTGCACTCGAGGAAAAAAAATTGGAATTTTCTCAGCTCTCTCAAAGAAAGAAACGGACGCATTATCAGCATCGTTCTTCCTATGCACTGATTGATAATCACGTTTCTTTCTCTATTTACATTATCGTAAGAACAAACTTCCTATGTTATTTCATATTCGACTGTATTGGCAGTAGCTAACTGCGGTACAATACAAAGAATGTTATCATAGGAGTTATCAAAAATTTTTAAATACCTTATTGGCATTTTATTAGCGAGGTGATTCGCTACTGATAGCCTCACAGGACTTTATCTAGTAGTCCATCTAGTATATAGTACTGTTCTGTAGATGAAAATGTAATGTTATCAATGTTTGCTTTTCATCGCTATTACCGTATCTCGCAACTCAGTTATCAATCGATGATCGGTTACGTAGCAGATAGGACAGATACAGCTCGGCAAAATACTCGAACCACTACTATGTAGCAGCCTCTGCTAAAGCATAAAAATATCCCGTAGGATATAAACTGTACTTCAATGGTGGCGGAACTGATGTTGATAGGGTGCTGTTTTTACGATGAAATTGCAATTTATGATTTAAAAGAGTCTTTGTTCAAGATTGACAACATTCGTTTACTTACAGTTACATTATAGTGTACTACAGGATACTTTTCAATTTATAGTTATTATACAGTACAGGATTAGGATTCAATTAACGCCTAGTTTATTCACAAGTTGAAACGCCGCACTGCATTGACAGTGTAAAGATTATTATCATTACTGAAGACTGCTTGTTGTCGGTAGGTTTTGCTGAACTATTTCCAAAGTGCGTTACAATATTTCACTTGATTATATATATTGATTATAGATTATTATAGTACTTATTGGTTAATAAATAAATAGACATTACAATATTTGTAGCTATTACAGCAATTTTGAAGAAATGTCATTATCGCGTGTCAAGCATTGTTTCGGTTAAGACATTTATAGTTTCTCGTATTACAGTAGTTTGAATGAAGATTCTGAAAAGCGATAACATACTTGTACAGTACATGTAGCCTGATTAAAAAATTTTTCTCAACGATGATCCTTACAAGTGCTACTATATGCGTGTATTTTTGTGTTGATTCAGTAGTAGAATAACCAAAGCGTTTCAAAAAGTATACTGGAATCCAAAATCCGATCCAAAGATGGTGAGAATGGATGAAAATCAACCACTTTTAGGCGGTCAACATAATCGTGAAACAATGGAATCGACCAATTGTGTATATACAATTTGTTCTCAGTGTCGTTGTTTGCCAACACGATACGTGCTAGCTTTAATGGGATTCCTAGGTTTCTATTGCCATATTGCTTTACGAGCTAATTTGAGTATCGTAATGGTCGCAATGACCAATACCACTGTGGACACTAGCTACAATAGTTCGGCGGTCGAGTGCCCAAAGTACAATATCACTGGAACACAGGTAAGCTTAGAAATTGAAGTTTATTCTGTTGAATAATATTACATATGGAGTAATAGAATTCTCCCAACGATTCTAGAATCGAGTAGTTCTAGCTGAATGTGATCATGCATCCCTTTTATCAATTTTGATATTCAATCTAGCTACAGTACTGTACCTTTCAATTGCTATTTGAATTGTGATTAATTTTGTACTAACCTAACCACATTGTTCCTCAGTTAATCGGGGAATTCGACTGGGATCACAAATTACGAGGTTAGTATTCTTAGTTAACGCTGATGACGTTGTGACTCCAAGAGTTTTATAAAAGTAGTTTAAAATCAAATTCATTATGTGTGCTGTATCGAAATTCGTCGACCAATGTTGCATTTAAGAGATAAGTATCAATACTTTATCATGTTAACATTATTTTTAAACGATTTATTTGCTGGTGATCTGGCTAGTAAGTTGTAAACGATTAATTATTGTAAAGCTAACTTTTATTGCTATGCGATATATCGACATCTCAATTTTCAAATTTACAAGTAAGAGACTATACGAACTGCGTTACTAATAACTCAATCCGACGCAATTTTAAAAAAATTCATTCACATATACAGTACTGTAGAAATCTTTAAGATAAAATAGTTATCTTGTACTGTACTGTACAGTACCAGTAAATATTAACAGTGTCGGTTTTGCTTTATTCTACTATAACTTGCCTAATAAGGCATTATATTAGGGTCATTTTTCTATGGATTTATCATAACGCAAGTGCCAGGTGGATGGTTAGCGGAAAAATGGGGCGGCAAACGTTTATCCGGTTATTCTATGCTTGGTACATCAATTTTGAACATACTAACTCCTATCGTAGTGCGTCATAGCGTTGGCCTCATGATAGCCTCTCAAATAATTCAAGGCATATTAGAGGTAAGAACATTTAACGATGTGTTTAGGATTGAGTATTTTGTTTATTCTATATTATGGAGGAGATATAATCAAATGGAGATAATGTAGAATAGAATGAATAAATATTTAATTATGCAGGGAGTACGACTGCCTGCTATGCACGCTATCTGGGCGCGCTGGGCTCCACCATTTGAGAGAAGCAAATTAACTTCGTTTACGTATTCAGGTAGGACTGTAAGCAACAGTCGTGTTCCAACCGATACTGGTCTATTTTTGATTTTACTCTCTTTAGGTGTTTATTTCGGTATGGCAACTACCTTAGTCTTATCTGGATACCTCTGTGCTCGATTTGGTTGGACAATAACTTTTTACATATATGGTGGAATCGGTTTAGCATGGTTTGTAGCCTGGATGTTGCTAGTATTCGATTCACCATCCGAGCATCCTTACATTTCATCGGAAGAGCTGACTTTCATTCACGATGCCATTGGCCTGTCTCTGTCTCAGAAAAAGGTATGAAATTTAAAATTATCTGAAGCTAGTATTAACCACAACTGGAATGATTCGGGATGAACATAATTTTTCAAAATTTTATTGCCTTAATTGCTTATTTTATGTACTGATTTTTACTGTGCAACTGTTTATGCGAAAATATATAATTGCAGCATCAAACTCTGTTCACTTTATCAATCTTCATTTTATAATTCGTAGGACTGTCAATCCCTGGAATTTTTCTAATTTTAGCGAGCTATACTGGTTGTCAACAAATTAATTTAACCATAGCCAGTATGTGTGTTGCAGTCGCTGGTCGAGCATTTGGTAGCTCGGGAGGATTCCGCGTAAATCATCTAGACATTGCACCTCAATATGCCGGTGTTCTCATGGGAATAACGAATTGCTTTGCTACATTGCCTGGTATTATCAGTCCGTTTATAGTAGGGATTATTGTCGATGTATCGGTAAGTCTTTCGTACAGCTTACACCATTTACTGATTTTAATGCACATTTGATGGAATAAACTGCTTGTATATCCGTTAATTATCATGGAATATTGCGAGAGTGCACTCATATGGACACTTTTAAATATAGTAGCATCACGTTGTCAACAACTCTGATTCTAAGACCCTATCCGCTTACAGCACATTATTTCATCACAATGCACTTTCATTTTCTTGATTCAGCATACACGACAGCAATGGCAAGTTGTATTTTATATCTCCGCTGCTATGTACCTCTTTGGTATGGCCTTTTATTTAATCTTCGCTACCGGAAATCTGCAAAACTGGGCTATTGATGATCACGAAGAATCCTATGACAAATCAAAGCCATCAATAACCTACAGTGAACTGACACAAAGCACTAGTGGTTTGTGGTAATTAGGTCTAAATAGTTGTATATTGTTTCCGTAACTTGAAGATTTTATTTGCTACCTTAAGCTATGAATATTACACTTCATATTGTTTTTACATCGTCATATTACTTAAATATCTTTGCTGTGCACAATTATTCCATAAAACCGTATCACTATTTTAATGCAGCATCTTCAATGTTTGCAGATTGTTACATAACTTTAGTATTACTTTACTGCCTGTCAAACGAATTTATATGAGCTAACTTATCAATTGCTTACTATAAAACCACTAAAATGCACATGTAGGCATAGGTCATACCACGAATTAATGCTTTATAATTCATGTTTATTAGCTAGTTCTTAACATTCAACATTGCTTAAATAAATAAAGCTAAAACGTTAAATTAAAATCATTAGCCCGTTAGCTAAGCAATTTGACAACGGATGTCATAAAATCTAGTATTATACAAATTTAATTACATCGTACTTAGAAGTACTTATGTCGAATACACTATAATTAGTTGTAAGACTTCGTGATCATATGGTACTGTACAAATGATTTATGAAACGTATACATCCTAAGACTTTTAGTAAAATTATAATCCTTCAGATCGTATAACTGGCATAGGTATTGCATGCGAATTCAACTTTATTTCGGCTATTCCTTGAACGGTTCATTAACAATGGCAGCTAACAACTTCAACCACTGCAGATCTTGAATGGTTTTCCTAAATTTAAGCCATCTACAGTCACGAAAACATTTGTTTTGTCTCGCTCTTCTGGCTTTATTTTCATCTATAACAACCGTCCTGATACAATCTAGCAAATTGTAATTAAATTAGGATCATATATACAGTATGTAACAGTTAAATCATTCCTTAACGGTTACCTGCATTAGTACTTAATATCGGACTGTCAAGATTGTTGCATGACGACAATGATTTGCCTGCTTTAAAGGTACGATCAACAATGGAAGTTACGGTATCTTCAGAAGAACTCTCTATATCTTCAATACAAATAAAACGTGGTTAAATTTCATTTAAATTTTTATCATTTCTGTAGTTAAGGGTACTAAATACGGGTATACCCATTATACTGTACATTATAAAAATTACTATACTTGCTACAAATATTCGAAAATTAAAATAGCGTTATATTAATAGAAGTTAATATTTAGTTTATATCAGGCTACCGTGTAATCTTGCTTCTATGATATCGAAACTGTTATTCACTTGGTTTTGAGCCGCATTAATGTCCATCAATAAGCGTAATCGATCAGATAAAAGTGAAGACAAGCTGCCTTCGGAATGAGATAACCATGTTTCAGCATCAGCAAACAGTGAACCATTTCCAATTAATTGTTCACCTGAACCATTAACAATTTTACTACCGATAGCATCATTTGGAGGGCTAGAATATCCGTTTAAGCTAGGATCATTTGAACTTTTACATATATCCGATGAATGATTGTTGGAATCGTGGACTGCGTTGATTGCAGGATCACGATCAGGTGATTTCAAATCCACTACATTGTGATTCGTACTAAATACGCAATTATTAATTGGAGCGCGTTCCTTGCAATCGACATTACAATCGCTTTTCTTAAAACCTTTCATCTTAATTGTGTTCTGTTGAGTTTCTTTCGGGATTGTATCTTTGCTGCAATCATTACTTGACTTACTATTCGAATCAATAGGAATTTTGAGCTTTTCATCATCACGTCGGATTGCTGATGGAAGTCGGACATTTAAGCACTTTACAAAATCTTCAAGATCGATATGATTATCCCTACTGTAAATGAAAGAATAAATAAAACTGTTACGACAGCTCATAAAAGTGTTTTTACAATTAATCAATATCGTGAATTCATACAATACCTTGAAAACATATTAACTTTCATCCATAACCCGTGCATAACTGACGATATCTCATTCATATCAGCAATAAGGCTCCCGCAACGACGTAATAATTGTGATCTAGCTTTAACATTTTCACTACTTTGCTCGGTAAGTAAAGAGGCTAAAACACCGCTTTTCTGCCAGTTACTGTGATACTGTAAAATCCAAGAGGAAAACAATGCGTTCTGTCAATCTCAACCTCACCATTAAGTACATTACTGTGAATAAAGTAAGTAAGTAGTGCGATAAAGAAACACAAACCTTAAATTTACTTCTTTGCCTCTGACCTGTTGTAGAATCAGGTTACCAATAACCGTTAGAAAGTAAACATATAGGCATTATCAAAGTTTGTAATATTATAAAGCAAGTTTGAGCAAACTACAATGCTCTTTCTCATAAGCAATACCTGGAGGGCATAGGCAAAGATAGCAGAGGTAGTTCACGGGAATGTTATCGCTATCAACTTCAATGCATTCAGTATGCTGCCAAGTCAAACACTTTTCACACTGTAAAGATTATCGAAATACATCAACCATCAATTATGAAATAACGTTACTATAAACAGTAAATGAATTCTGACCTGTAACATCAGACCCATTTCCTCATTCTTTCCGCATAAGCATCGAACAATATCTTGATCTGAGTTACTGTCATCATCACTCGCGTGTTTTGAATTTTTAATATTTGAGTCTAAATAAAAGATTGAATGTTATCAAAGAAAATTCAGATAAAGATTTAGGAATATCTTGGCTAATGCAACACTACTTATCAAAATAGCGTAATTTTAACTATTATTTATAATTACCATGGTTTGCCAAACTGCTACGCGGAGGAACGCTAGTTCTGCGGCGCTTAATTCTCTGCCTGGAGAGTTCTACGTCAGTAGTAGATACAGATCGTTTTCTATTCGTTGACGCTAATCATAAAATTAAGATTAGTAATAATAGTGATAATGTCGATGCCAATAACTTACGGTTTTGGTCTTTTCTTGTTTTAGCTAGTTTTATTAATTTCGAAGCTATTTCGTCAATACCCAGCTTCTTGCTTCCTATAATATAAATATTTAGCTCCAAGTTACACTTTAAAATATCCTAGAGTTTTTCAACAACACATTTGTACAGCGTTACTGGTTAGCCTGACATACGAGTCCTAGGTGAGATCAAATTAGAATTTGTACTGCCAGCAGATGTTGTCAAGGGTCGACCATTCTGCTTGCCGCTACTATGCTTTCGCAAATTACCACATTTCAATGTAGCACGGTTTCTAGCCATGGCGTGAATAAAATTCGTTGCGCTTAAGGTCTTTTTGTTCTCACGCGAGCTATCAGTTGCATCACTAGTTTCACTTTCAGATGTTGCATCGATACTATATGGTCCGATTGAAGATGCATCAGACAGTCGTTGAGATTGCATTCTACGAGCGCTACTTCGTGAAGATTTAGGATTACGAGATGCAAATCCTGGTGAATTTCTATCTACTTTTGTGCTATTTGTCGAGACCTTAGGCTATAATCGTGAGTAAGAATAACTCAGTGCAATCAAGTTGGAGAACAAATATAGATGAAAAATGTACAAACTCAGCCTTTATTTGTAACATCTATAAAGTGAAGTTTGTTTTGCATGTTTATAGACGTACATTTTAGTCTGTTCTAATTAACTGCTGAGACACTAAATCGTATAATGAAGTAAGAACCATTCATAGTACTCCATAGTATAAGTTAACTTTTTATCTAGGATTTAGTCACTGATCCTATAATATTATTACCTTTCGTGGGTCTTCTTTAATGGTAGCTGGCAAACAAAGCTTTTTATATCCGTCATCAAAGAGCACCTCATACAATCCTAATGTGCAACAATCAAGAAGCAGAAGAAGGTTCTTTAATAAGATGTATGGAATCAAAGATTTTTATGAAAATTTATATATATATATATATATCAATCCCAAAAAACTCAGTGCATACCATTCTGCTTCCTTGCTAAGATTTTTCCAGAATAATATCTACAATCAGACCAACGCGCTAAAACATGTTCCCCACATTGCCATTCCTATGATATTAGCATTCGCTATGAGATAATTTTAACAAAATAACATGAATTATAGTTTACTACTATTCGGTTTCATGCATACCTTCAGGATAGGACTTGAGGTAGATGAAGTTTTCCTACTAGATGTCCTGACAGTGGGACGTAATCTGGAACTTTTTAAATCAATCCATTCATCAAATCTACTGCTCCATCCTTCGAAATGAATTAATACTTCTTGGTTTTTCTCGTCAACATCCTTTATCTTTGATGGATACCTACAACATAATCAATCAATTACTACGATGCATCTTATAAGGTAAGTAAGTTAGAAATAATCTATACTGGATTAAAGCACGCAATAGTGACAATAAATCAATAAACAAGCCCATAAGAAACTGATAACGGATCAATGATAGCTAATACAGAATAAAGGACAAAAATGTGGATCTTATTCATTATCCAAACATTAGTAAATGAATTTGCAAAATCGTGGTCATTTCATATATAAGCAGCATCATTGAACCAATCAAAACACAGCAACACAATTGCACATTTAATAAAGTTTATTTGTAGTTATTCTTGTTACTTAAGATAACGTAATTCCACAATGTTAACTTTAATCCATTCGAGCAGCTAAGAACTTGTTGCTTGGTTACAACCTGATTACGAGTTTTTCTAACAACAGATAGTTGTTAACAAAACAAAATGATTGTAATATCATGGCATCTATAAAGGCGTAAAATTTTTTGGCTACTATAAATGTCAAACATTTAATCTTTCAATTATAAATTAAGTATAGCAAGTGATCCGTTGATTCACATTTACTTTTTGCAATCGTTATATTCATGCTTCATTTATGCAATTTTCTTGCACACGTCGTTGTTTACACGTCGCCATGCAATCAAGCACAAAACAGATATTGATCCTTTTGGTTCCAGCTTATATATGTTATGCATGTACTGTGTTGTCTATAGACGTCTACTGTACCTATAACACACAGCTCAATTACTTTGAATAAAGTCAGTATAGACTGCTTACTACCAGCTTGTATAAAACGTTACATCATGTCATTACAGCATGTTTATGAATTTAACTTGAAACTATTCTTTATACGTCAACTTTAAGTAGTGTTATAAACCAAGATAAATTACCATTTGCCACAATAGTCCTTCGCTTCCACTCTAGTACCAACTTCCAGAGGTATAGTAAGTTTAGATGGCTTTATTTTTTTCTGTTAATAGTAATAATAATGAAAATCTCAGCAACAAAATCAAAGCGCACCAAAATTAAAAAATCCAACATAGAATCGAAGATAATAATAATTATCGAGTGTATTGACAATCCGGATTACATGATGATTACTAAGAACTGCAGCTTGCAAAGAAATACTAATAGGAGGCTTATCAAGAAAATAATCTCTTCAATTAAGGCTACATTTACTTTCGCTAATTTTAAAAAATTTTAATTCTCAGATTTACTATAGCTCATAGGTAGACAATTTCAGCATGAATTACAAGAAAATCATGCCGTATTTACTACATCTTCGATGTTACAGTGAACCATATTAAAAAAAATTTAAGCTGTATTTCAAAGCAAGCGAATTTAAGGCGAAATAGCTAAAACTGCTAGACGTGACGGCACAGGGCTTTACTACAGTACTATACCTAAGCAGCACCAACATTGCAAATCTGATGGAAAAGCTAGGAATCCAGGTGAACCAACCTCGATCATACTATAGTGTTCTATGTAGGGCTGTATATTAAAATGCGGGAATAATGTATAATATAGAGGGAGATAGTACACAATTTTGCTAGTCTAGAAAGCATCGAGTTTTTGCGCTCGTTTGCCTAAACCTACACCTTATTTCGATTTTGCCCAATCAATAAATATGCACGCTATACACCAGCAAGTAATCAGTCCATCATTGAATATACTGTAGGCTACTGTACTAAGCAGTACTACTGCCGAAACTAGGTCGACCTATTTTGTTATTACTAGGTTTAGTTACGATTTCTTTTTTTACGACGAGTGCATCAATCCTCCTAAATGACATGTCTACCTACCCAGGAGGGCCTCTCAAGTAAAAGGATTAACTCGGGCAGGTCTCGGCATCAGCTATGGTCAGAATTGTAAGAATGTCGTGCAGTATAATAATACTGTAGAGGTCTGCATTACAGTACTGTACTGTACCGTACATACTGTACACTGTACAGTACGTACTGTAAATGTCGAATGCAAAAAACTGATACAGTACCGTACTATAGTACTGTCACCCTTACTGTACTGATTTGTACCACTATCAACTTGGTGTAATGTACTGTAAACATGACGTACAGTACAGCATGATCTTAGCACAAATCAATCAGAGAATATTCTTACCAAAACACAAAAATTAAAATCATTAGAATTCGGCCCAACTACAATAAATAAATAATTCTTTAACTGTAAAATAAAATTGACATCAAAAAAGTTAACGCTGATGAGTAACAATATCTAATGACAATGCTTCAAGTGCTACTAAGTAATTTATCACTATTTTGTAACTACTACTTAGCTCTTCATGACTCATTAACTGATACGCGTAACACTACTCAGTACGTGTGAGCACGTCCATCTGTCTACATGTATGTTGCTTTGAAGTCAAATAAGGCTATCCAATAAGGAATGGTAAAATTACGTCGGACAGCATTAAAAAAAACTTGTTAAACAATTGGATGATTAAAAGGAGTAAATGATATAAGTTGCCTAAAATCAGTCTACAATTTCAAGATTAAAACGTAGCAGAAGCTTGGAGAGTTATCAACTTTGTGGCACTGTTTTCGAATTAGTTCACCGATTGAATTAATTAATTAAAGGCATTTAGTCACGCGCTAAGCGTGTCCATTTGTCAATCTGACCAAAAGCGGCAATACTCTATGGTTCGCACTGTAAACATAGGGAGACTATATAGTATTTCAACTGCTACGGCTTATTTAGCAGTGAAAGGAAGGAACATAACGTCGTGTTGTAAGAATTAAGGCAGTGAACCAATTCCATCTATCAACCCCAAAATTGACAACCCGATGTCTATTGCTATACCGTACAGTACATCGTCGTCGACTGGAGCACACTTGTCCTCTTTCTATGGTGGCTATACTATCTAGCAGTTACGGCGAATTTCTACTACTTTACAGCATGGCATACTTGCTAATGTCCATTTTATAACAGTGGCTGAGTGACAACTGAACTCTCAATATACGAATTTGTGCATTCAAGACATTTACTTTACACGAGCACAATATGTATCCAGTAGGTTTGCGAATGTTGAATATCATTACTCACCGATGACCTATTCGCCTTGGCCATGCTTCAGGTGGCGACAATCAACATTCCCGAAAGATCGTATCGCACAATCACTGAGCGAAGAAAATAGTAGCCGTAGTTGAACGCCACTCGGAGATTAAGATATCCTGAATGATTGAAATGATAAGGCGAGGCGTTACTCTTTAAATTCACTGTTGCTTATTTGTGAAAATCTTCAACAAGCCGACGAAGCATAAGCACGGGAAATGCATTGCACATAGGAAAATACAAATGTGGTACCCGCTCTTCTTTCGCGGCTTGGTCAATGTTGTCGTGGTTCACGAGCACTGTACAGTACACTGTACAGTGTACAGTACGCTAGCATGCAGTACAGTATCCAAGATGATGTACTGTACAGTACTGTACAGTATACTGTAGTACAGTACAGTACTGTGATTTCCGGTTTTAGCAATTTACTGTACTGTAGAGTAGTTTTCATTAATACAGTACTGTATGTACTGTACACTGTACTGTACTGTACAGTACACTGTACTGTACAGTAGAGTACAGTATTGTACAGTACAGTGCGTCTGGGCGTGCTCGATATGACTGCGACATGGTCTGATTGCGTCAGCCTTTTTTCTTACTTTACTGCACACTCACAGAGTCACAGTAATGGTACAGTACTGTACTTACTGTACAGTGTACAGTGTACAGTACTGTACTGTGCTACCGAGAATTTGGAATTTATACTGTAGTTGTACAGTACAGTACAGTACAGTGTACTGTACAGTACTCAAAGTTTTTACACACGATTGTACAGTACAGTACAGTACAGTACTGTACTGTACACTATAAACTACAGTATAAAACCAGTACTGTATTCTGTTACAGTACTGTACTGTACTGTACACTGTAAACTGTACAGTATAAAACCAGTACTGTCTTCTTCCTCCTGGATTGATCATAATAATACTTTAATTGTAAAACATGGATCGGCAAGAAGAAGAAAGTATGGAATTAATATTCCATATATACAGCGAAACAAGAGACGGAGAAATGATGATTTCTGTTCCCTATTTCTTACAGGTACTTCTTAATCCAAGGAGTCTTTTCTTTTCTAGTATACTGTAAAATGAAATATACTGTATTGCGCAATGGTGCATTGTGGTTACAAAATTCCTACACAACAAGAAAACATTTTAAGTTCTTGTCTATGGCATTGACATTACTGTACTACAAAGATAAATGCACCACAAGTTTCGCTTCATTGCAACACGATCATGGATGACAGTAACTGATGGAAATGTTAATGATGATTGAGATAAATATTTCAATCATTTTTCAATATTAACTTAAGTTATGATCAAGATTGTTTAACCGACACCAAAATTGAGTTACAGGACTAGAAGACCAATAGTAATCGTCAGAGTAGAACCTTGTTGATTCATTCATGCTTTTTGGTCTCTCCGTAAACTCAAATGAAAAATAAATAGACTGTACAAGTGGACATGAATGAATAAATTATCAGTGTTTTACTAATAATTACCTACTATCCCATTTCCGTTATTAATCACTAAAGTAATGTAAAGGTTTTGTTCTTAAATCCTGCAATAAGTAATATACTGAAACCCGCAGTGATTGTATTCGTAAAAGATCAATGAAAAATCAATCATTACATAGGCGTAGTTATTATAAACATGTGATCAATTATTGTGTCTATGGCTTCAGATTATAAAGGAATGCGGATTACGAGAAAATGATCAGCGCCTACTACCTGTAATCAAAGCACTGAAATCATACTTGGCAGAAGATCGTACTGGGTTTATAAACATAGAGACATTCAAAAAGTAAGAATACCGAATAAATTACCTAGCAAGATAATTGAAATTTCATCTTAAGCAAGCATATCAATAAATGTAAATATTTAATTTGAGAATTTGAAGCTCAGGTATTACAGAATTCATCGATTCTGCTATTTGATTTCACAATAATCAGTGTTATTATCAATAATGTTAATGCTCGTATGAGGTAATAATTTGATAAATTTTATAGCCAGAATAAAAATTCACCTTTCTAGACATTGTGAATGCAGAGCGAGATAGTATCAAATATAATGACTGTGAAAAATCCTTCGCGACGACATAATTTTTAACTTTATATAAAAATGCATGATCTCAATCAAGCATCAAAATCATTAAATGTTGTGGATCGAGCACATGTGATTTCGTAATTCTAACTTAATGATAATAATATAATATCTTTGTTTTACTGTAACATGGAAAGGAAGACATAAGTATACCCTGCAGTTTCGTAGTGTTTAGCTTTGAAACAGAATGTGCAAAAGTATGGAGTATTAGTGTACGTAGGATTTCTGGACGATATTATGTAGTTACTGTGCTTTCAATATTCATACGAGTATTACAGTGCAAGTGAAAATTATCTAGAGAACAGAAATAAATATATACATTGCAGTAGATACTGCATTATAATGGATGTATCCCGTATTTGTTACACTGGATCGCTAATTTAAATTGGTAGTGAAGAATTAAAATATTTCATAAATTTTTTCACTCCAAGTAATCTTTATTATGCTTTTTCTAAATGAACCAGTCATTTATGCAAAAGTAGATCTCAATGTAATATAATGATTATTGCTACTCAAATATATAATATACTGTGGCTTTAATACGTTATCAAATTAGAATATCGTGTTGTTCTATTTTGAGTGATACTCTACGAATTTGTATTTACTATTAATCAATCATAGATGCATTAATAAATGCACATTCTTGCTCCGACGCGCATTGCAAGGCGACTTTGTCATTCCTGATTTTCAAGTATTTACTTCTACATTAAAAGATTTCTATCATGAAGCGAAATTAATAAATGATGGTCAGGTAGGAATGCTGTAAATGCTATATCATCGAAAATAGAATAGAAACTTGGCTGCTTATGATAATTACACCTTCACTCGAATAATTTATTTTTCTCTATTTCAGCTTTCTGATTACATTCCTCAACTCGAACGATTATCACCTGATAAGTGGGGTGTTGCAGTCTGTACTGTAGATGGCCAAAGGTACTAGTAACATAAAATTTTAACTATACATAGTATGCCTGCATCAAACCTAGTGTGTCTCTTCATTACCTCTAGTAATCACCAAGATTTCATATACAGTGTCAACATTAAGATCTTTTTAAATGAAGTATGACTTTGTAGCTAATATGCTTTTTCTTAAGATAAATAGCGAAAGATTTCTTACAAGAAATATGCCTGTTACGTTAACTAAAAATTTAAATATATACTTGTATGATAAAGTCAACAAATACTACTGTAAGATCTCATCTTAATTCTTAAATAAGGCCTCTTGTAAAAATTGATTTAGGTTTTCCATTGGTGATTGCAAAGATAAATGGTGTCTTCAATCATGCTGTAAATGTGTTAATTATGCAATGATATTAGATGAGCGTGGAGGAGATGTGGTATAAATTACGTTTATAAATACACACTAAATGTATTTCGTATATGATATACAATATATTCAAAGACAGTTACTTACTGTAACACTTTAAGACAGTAATATTAGTTTCTTACAACAGGTACATAAATTTATTGGCCAGGAACCTAGCGGTCGAAGATATCATGATATGAGCATGAATTTAGAAGGTACGCAAAGTAAACTGCACGTTATAGTTACTAAATAGTAAGATATGGGATCATAAGATGCACTCTTCTTGCATTTTGCATACAAGTAGAACTTAATAAAATAGTAGATATTCAGTCTGTTTTGGATCATCCTATATTGTAGTAGCCAATGTTATATTTTACCTTTGTTTCATTAATAACTCACAATGAAAGACTTCTGGGTATGTGTAGAAGTTCATTGCGGTTAAATTACTTAACCCACATCTGAATGTGTCATTTCTTAACTTTACTAGTAAGTTGTATTGTTTGCATCAAGCGTACATGTAAATTGCTCCTCTTTATTGCAGCTCCTTTGCTCTTAAAGCAAATTTATCACATCTTCTACTGTATTTAATTAAATATTTAATATCAATTTCTGGTAGGTAAACCGTATAATGCTTTGATAAATCAAGGTGGCATAATGGGATGTGCATTAATGAAGGTAACAATTTATAGTCTTTGAGCTATCCGTATAAATAATAATAGTAAAAATCGCAATCATAATTTTAAATTAGTAAATTATACGAATAACACTCTTTCACCTCTTCTTCGATTAGCCCAATATGCCACCTGCTGACAGATTTACACACGTACGCTACATTTTGTATAAACATAGTATATAATGTCTATCATATGTCATTAAGTTGATAAAACTAACAAAAATTTTAATATATTGTTTTCATATCTGGTAGGTCAGAGACCGATACAAGCAAGCAGCTGGAAATGAGCATATAGGATTTGATTTACCGACGTAAGCAGGAATTGTATTAGGGTATACAAGATCCAATGTCGATTCCTACTTTAAGTTAAATTTATGTCGGGACGTATGATCTTGCGCATGACATTCATTCTTAAACAATAATATAATATACGAAATTTCAGTTTCCTGTCCGAAAAGGAAACCGGGCATCGAAACTATGCACTAGCTTATCATATGTTTGGAAAGAAGGTATATGGCAATTTTCTGTAATTTTAATATTATTAGCCAAATAAAATAAATTTTATACTGGTTTAGTCAAGCAACCATTCGGAATTAAATGTTGTTAGGCTTTTCCTCCGGATACAGTATTAAACGAAGTATTAGATCTGTACTTTCAACTTTGTTCAGTTGAAGTAACGTGCGAATCCGCTTCAGTAATTGCTGCAACTCTAGCTAATGGAGGAATTTGTCCTACTACTGAACAGAGGGTAGTAATTAAATTATTTTTAATCTTTACAATATCTACCGTTTATACTGTGTATCTTATGTAGCTATTGATCTTATAAAATTTGCCCTCTCTAGGTGTTTAATGAAACGGCTGTAAGAGATACCTTATCAGTCATGAATTCTTGTGGAATGTCGGACTATACGGGACGATTTGCATTTGAGGTGCATACAATTTCGATATGAACTAAGATCTAAAGGCACTCTTGATAGAACTAATCTAAATAGGAAGTTTTGCATAAAATTTTTCATCTGCTGTAGGTTGGTTTACCAGCAAAATCAGGAATTAGTGGCGGTATATTCATTATTATTCCTAACGTAATGGGAATTTGCACTTGGTCGCCCTTACTGGACAATCATAGTAATAGTGTTCGTGGAGTCAAATTTTGTAAGGTATAGTCAAATGTTGTTAATCTTATCTCATAGCGTTAAAGAGCAATGTAGATAATTTCTTCCATTCTACAGAGATTAGTGGAAGAATTCAACTTCCATTATTACGATAGCCTTATAAACATAGAAAAAAATGATCCGAGATTGTCTGCAGAATATGTATATGGATTAAAATACAGTAGAATATTTACTGCTGCAGCAAGTGGCGATTTATCTGCTCTGAAAAGGTACGTAGCGCATTAACAATCGAGTTAACTTCCAGTCGTTCAATCAATCATTTTGGTTATGATACTATAATTATTAAATGATAGATATTGCCAATGCGGTGATATGGAAGCGATTGACTATGATCAGCGAACAGCCTTACACGTTGCAGCGGCTGAAGGTGATAACAATTTCTCTATGTTAACTCTACGATACTGTAGACAAACATGTCCAATTTCATGCTGTCAAAATTAATTGATTACGTAGGTCATTACAATGTCGTTAAATACCTCCTTAGTGTGTGCAAAGTTAATCCTAATCCAAAGGACAGGTAATGCCAATTTTTATAGTATTGTAGTGTGTATTGTATAATAATATACTTTATATTTATGGATAGCTTATTGTACTGAGGAGGCTGTTTCGTTACAATGAAAACTTTCTCGTTAGGTGGGGGAATATTCCCATAGATGATGCTGAAAAATCGGGAAATCATCATGTTGTGGCTTTACTGAAACACTATTCCGAATTAGAAAGAGAACTTAAAAAAAAGCCTACATCCTAAATGGTGGTCACGCAACTAGCAAGACGTTCTATAAATTACTATTCTAAAATTTTTATTGATATATTTATTCAACCGATTGTCCATGGGCAAAATCTGGTATAATTCAACAAACTAATTAGTTTGGCCAATTGGCTGAGGTTTTCAATCATCAGTCTTTTGGAATTTAACAACTTATGAATGGCTCATTCGTAAAATTAATTTATCGTTACTTGCTTATTGTAAGCAAGATTTTGATAAGCCAATCACAAAGCTTAATATGATTATCTAGTATGGTAAGGTTTCGAGTCGGCAAAGACATTACAAACTGTATGCAAAATAGAGGATATTAAATGCAACAAATTGATAATTCATTCAAAGCACTCTATCTATCCGATTGGCTTTTTCAAACGTGATTTATATTATAATTTAGCTATTGCTCTTGTCACTTTCGATTCTGGTCGCATTCCAATAAAATCTGTAATAAATTTGGCGGAGTCTATTACGCTATTCAAATCTACACCCTGAAATTGTGTAAATTCAAAGTTATTACGATATTTTCATTTTCAAATGACATCATAACGTGCATTCTCAATCAATCATTGCCCATACTCTAAATTGATACTAGCTTTGCTAGTTTAGCTACATTAGCTGAGCTATTTATGCTTACTTACCGTTTTTATATTTAATCCATTTAGCATGTAAACCACATCTTCGGTTGCAACGTTACCCGAAGCGCCCTTAGCGTAAGGACAGCCACCTAATCCTGCTACTGACGCATCTACGACTGATACTCCCATCTAAAATCGAAATTTAGATTCTGAAATTACTGCTTAAGAACATTCATACAAGTTCAGTAATTTTACCGTTGTAAATTCAAACGTAGCAAATAACAACGTAAACAATGACGGCTGCTTTACACATTCTGTATACTGTAAAATTTGATGGATATATTGCTTTGCAAAGAATTTTATTCTTTTAGTATTCATACCTGAATAGCTGTTAAAATGTTAGCTAAAGCTTGTCCATATGTATCGTGGCAATGTACGGCTAACTTAGATGCTGGTACAACTTTCGTCACTTCTTTCAGCATTGCTGCCATAGAACCTAAAGGGTCCAAAAAATTGGTTTATACTACTATTTTGCGTGATATGGTACTAAAAAAATTCCACATTTGCAATTTTTACCCGGTGTACCAACTCCGATGGTATCGCCGAGAGAAATTTCATAACAGCCCATATCAATCAATTGTTTGGCAACCTAAATTAACGATGGAAACGCTGTTTTTAATTCAGCTAACGGAATAAAATATTCATTTAAGAATATCTACATTCGGCTACTTAGATTTTTTCATATAAGTATATCTAACATTTGCTACTGCTGTCGGTTCAATTTTCCCTTCATACGGGCATCCAAGGACGCACGAAATATAGCTAGTATTGAACAAAATGCAATGGGCATTGATTGCTAACATTTTCAACTTTGAATGGACTTTTATTCTTGATGTAAGCTTATCAGGGTAATCAAAATGATTGATATCTTGATTACGAATTTACCCTCTAATTTTGATGTTTAATTTCTTTGCTTCATCACAAAGGCTGTTAAAACTTTCGAGACTGTCCTTAATAGTAGCGTTGACATTCTTCCTAGTGTAGAAAAATTTTTATATATGATTTGGAGATTGAAAGACCATAACACAGGACTGTTTCATATCATTCCAATGCAATGAACTAAGACAAAGTTTTTGCATCATCTGCTATCGTACAAGATGAAAAGTGGCGCGTCTAATATAAATTTGATATCCGAAGTTGTATGTTATGCTTTTATAAAAAATGTGATGGCATAACCACCTACTATAGTCCCCGTCATAATTAAGAATGCTTCATCATAATATACTAGAATTTCTTGTACTAGTCTTGTGCAACGCTGCATGGATTGTAGTACACTGTTGTAACAGCATGTAATTACTAACTATAAATCTACGCAATTACGCTATTATAATGTTGATGAATAACTTTGTAATAAGTATCATTTGGAATATGATTTTAGTAGAATTGCTACCTACTTTGTAAAAGTTTCTGACACCGCGCCAAATATTGCAACTTCTTTTGCACCAGCTTCCATCTAATTTTTAATCAAATTATAATCAATCCAAGCTATTTAGTGATTCCAGGTTACATATAGGTGTAACTGGAAACTTTAATGGTACAGCACTAAATTATTCTTACTAACCACAATTGTGGATATGTTAAGTACGACAAGGTAATGAATTTGATTATAACTCAACTTAATAGACTTGTTTTATAAGCAGTATCATAGCATATACTGACTAATACGGAATAGAGAATTAAATAGCACGTTTATATTATTTGATTTAGTTTGTAAGCACTCAGACGATACTGTCCTTCTTAAACTTACCGCTGAAGAAAATCCTTTCAAATTTGGGGTTAAAACTGGGTAAGATACGTTTGGATTTTTGTCAATACCTTTCAGTACATCAGCATTATCAGCCATCTGTAACAACAAATATAATATTTAACTATTTGCAAGTACGTCAAACAAAATTGAAATCTTAATCAGTCAATGAGGTAAAAAGCTGTACGGTATAGACAGAGACAACTTAATACTTTATAATATACAGTATATCCATAATAAGAATCAGATAATTCATTTGTGCCTACGTGATATACTTTATAGTTATACCGTCGATAAAACAGTTAATTAAGCAATATCGGTCACCTGTGGTACCCATTTCGGAGAGACAAAGCTAGTAACTTCTACAACAGGTAATCCTGTATTTGATAAACGATTAATTAATTCGATCTTCACATCGGTTGGAACAAATGTCTATAATATTACCGACACAATCGATTAGATCATTCCAGTTCGAGAGAAGTCATTGAATAATTTAATAAGCATTACTTTAAATTCATGGTGATAATAAATACTGTAGTTGATAAAACATTCTACCCAGGAAGCAAATAAACTTACAAGTACTCTTATGCTGAGAAAAGGCTGACTCAAATACTATGTGAAATACGAATAGTTTTGTGACATAGCGTATAGTATAAACTTGACTCATTTTATAATTAATAAACAGAAAAACATTGTAAAGCCAATTCACTTCTGATCCAATAAGTTTTTGATGTCATATTACCTTTATATTTTGTAATCCATCACGCGGACCAACCTCAACAATTTTGACATATTCCGGCATGCCAGAGGACTGTTATTAGAGTGATAATTACACCGTAATATAAAAAAAATATGAAATTAGTAATTACTTTAATGTCCTATCAATTCAGTAGAATGTTAACTAATGCTAGAGTAGACTATGTTTCATGATACGTTATAAGTACTTTATTGTAATCGAGTGCATACTGTATCTAGTCAATGTCATTCAAAAATTGTTGTACCGTATGCTAATAACTTCAATTGCACCATAATCAGATATAATTCTATCCAGTATAACGAAAATACAGTGGCAATCATTCTATGGCCAGTGTGGAAAACCCTACTAAGTATGTCATTAATTTGGATGGTCATGAGTTATGACTGAAGCAAATTACTCGCAAAGTAGGCTTTCTTTCCTATAATTCCATCTTCCCCGAAGGGTATGGTGATTGATAGTGATCAGCACAGTACTGTACTCTGTACAGTATAATAATCATATAATTCGTACCGCAGTTTGGACAACTGTTGCAAGCTGAGTTATATAAACTAGATCAATTCTATTGAAGCGGCGAACGATAATTTGCTTTCCAAACGTCAATGATATACTGCATTATCTATATGCTGTTCAAAGGGTAGGAATTTTCCATTTTAACGCATGCCATTTCGCTGCTTAGATCACTTATGGTAACGCATACTTGTTGATGTCATTTTCATCATTACCTTTGAGTTGCTTGCCGAACTTTCATAACTTGCGAGAGTACGCTTGCAAAGAACGGAAGTATCATTGTTGTTCATCCACTTCCAAATGCCTGATCGTATCCTCTGATTCTTCAATAAGTATCTGCTATTCATTTGGCTATCTCAACAACCGATGAATAATAATATTTTCAAGTGAAAGATTAAGGAAGAAAGGAAATGTTCTGCACTGCAAGTTTTGCTTGCCTACGTCCCTCTACTGCTGCAGTAGCGGAACTACTTACTGCATGTTGACAAATGATTACGGTGGTTCACCTTGCAGGTACACTGGTACACTGTACAGTGTACAGTACAGTCTGCATACAGTACTACGACTGTGCTGTACGGTGCATAGTACTGTAGTCTGGTCGCTCTCAACGCAGTACTGTACTGTACTCAGTACTATAGATTACAGACTACAGTACTGTACAGTGTACAGTAGGCCCAGCAATACGGTAATAACCCCGATTACTCAGATACTCAGCGTAATTAGCTTAAAGAATGATACACTACTGTATTCTAGGAGTCTGTATCTCCAATTTCATGCGATTATTCAAAGAGTAAGACGTTGCACCAACGCAATAAAAGTTAGGTACTACTGTCTAAAGACTTTTTCCGAGTTACGTCAATCTTCCTACTGCGGCTGCCGACCACGCATGCGTATGCCCTGACAGATGATTACGGTGAATAAGGTTGGTTCACCTTGCAGGTGCACGCACGTACACTGTACGGTACACACAGTACAGTACAGTACAGTACTGTAGAATGGAAACGAGACACATTCTACAGTACACTGTACAGTGCTGTACTGTACTGTACTGTACTGTACTGTACTGTACTGTACATACCAATACAGTATCAGACAAAGTACAGTACAGTACAGTAGTCTTCCCACGACTTACAGTACAGTACTGTACAGTACCACGCATGCGTATACACTGTACATACCAGTACAGTATCGGACAAAGTACAGTACAGTACACAGTACTGTACAGTACAGTATTACAGTCTACACTGTACAGTACGGTAATGATGCTGCGCAAAGTACTGTACAGCACAGTACTGTACTTACTAATGCAGCATCCTTTACATTCTACTGTACTGTACACTAGTGTATAGTACAGCATTGGCCAGACTTTTACTGTACTGTATGCAATCAGCAGCTCTGTTTTCAGTTTCTGTACTACCTTTGAGCAAGACAAACGCGCAGAAAAAGTTCGGTCACTTTCTTCCCGGTAGTGCTTCATACACTACTATCGCACTCTACTGTACAGTACTGTGCTGTCGTGTGGTGGTAACTACTGCCATCAGCGTAAGGGTTGCTCGTCAGTGGTCAGAAAAACTCCCAAGTGTGATCATGGCGATGCAAAAGCGTTCCAATGTAAGTTGAATTCTACTACATTAACAATCTTCCTTTCATGAATAATCAGTCTAGAGTTCATAAAGTACTTGGAAAGTTCGTTAGGAATGATGAATAATGACCGAAAAATAGTAACGGCTTGTCCATGCCCAATTGCGGAGTTGATCTCTTGGATCAAATCCAATCAATGTTGGCCATGATCGTGCAGCTTTTTACTACACTGCGTAAACGTCAAAACTTCAAATCTTCAATATCGCATCATTGATAACTCACTTCCGCACATCAGAATTCAGTTCAGTCTACTATTAGTCCATAGCAAAATGGAACGATCCATCCATTCAACCAACTTAATCTACAACTTTGAAATAACAAGTTTAACTCCATGTTTTTCTTATACGTATTAGATACGACTACCACCTGAAGTCAATCGAATCCTGTACGTCAGAAATTTACCGTATAAAATTACTGGCGAAGAATTGTACGACATTTTTGGCAAATACGGAGCTATTCGACAAATCCGACTGTGAGCAGTTTGTATACTCGTATTATATTCTAAATACGCTAAATGATATTGGATATACGATCGGAATTTTATCCGACACACCGAGTCAGCGATACGTACGATAGTCTGTAGTACGTGCATTTTTATATATATATATGCTCAATGTGTCAGATAAAGTTCTTATTTGTGAATTAGTTGGTTAAAATTCATGTTTGACTTCTATTGGATCAATTTTATGCCTGGCAATTGTTCGATTGATAATACTGTAATTAGTTGTTGCTAGATAATTGTTACTCATTTCTTCTTGTACTACCATAAATATATTGCTAACACTTGGTATAGTAATCTAGTTTTTTGCTATCTTACACTGAACTGTATATTTGATTTATTAGAGGAACGAATGCCGATACGAAAGGTACCGCTTTCGTAGTTTATGAAGACATCTTTGATGCCAAGAACGCATGTGAACATTTATCAGGCTTTAACGTTTGTAATCGTTACTTGGTCGTTCTATATTATCAGTCTAATAAGGCCTTCACTAAAATGGATAAAGAGAAGAAGAGATCAGAGCTTGATCGTATGAAAGAAAAATATGGTGTCAGCACCGAAAACTAGTTGAAAATTAGTTATTGTAAATGCACGAATTAAATTTCGTAACGACTGTGATTACTGTTCATTTCAACGAACCGGCACTGTCATTTATACTAGTCTTTGAATCCTGGCTTATTCCCTAATTTTTTATCCAGTGTTTAAAAACGCAAGTTTCAAGACACTACCGCGATGTGTAAACCTGAAACCTAATGTCTAGCATTTCGGATTTACCCATTAATTTTATTGATAATGTACGCCTAACGGCTGCCAACCGTCTGTGTTGAAAGTGAAGCTTGCGACGCAGCTTTGAATATCTACTTTGGGAATATTAAAATCTTAACGGAAGTTTTGTCGGATGAATACATGAACTTACATATTTCGCCACAAAATGATGCCAGAGTAATATGTAGAAAGGTAACCTATTACATTCATCTGTATGTTATTTATTGCGACGATGGAAATATTCTCATCTCCCAATGTCAGTGGAATTTTGACATCTCCGCAACGTTACCCAAATTATGACAGCAATTACTTTTTGTTGTTTTGATAAATAACGACTGTTCATGTAACTGTATTGTATAATCTACGTGTCCCTGATAACTTTTGTACATCGAAAATAAATTATTATACTCTTAGATTAAGAGATATCGAAATATTTTATTCTTCTCTGATATCATACTGACAAGTACTGTTGAAAAAGGATTACAATATCTTGCAGCAAAGTAGTCTTGATTGGTAAGTGTTAAACTAATAGTTGATTTACAAAACGCCCCATCTAAAATACTAGTGATAATAATTATTATTATTAAAAATAACATAAATACAACTGACGGTATATAGTACGAGTATACGAGTATTGAACTCGGATTACAATTAGAATCGAAAGATCTATTCGAGGTTGAAGACCTCTACTAATCTAAATCTTTAACGAGAGCATGAACAATATTAAATCAATGCCTGGAAGACTAATATAGTTATCACACAATATTGAAGTATACTTTCTAACGGATAATAACACTAGACTATACAATAAATGAAACAGCTACATAAATTTTCATTGATACTCATACGTCTATGATAAAAGTCACTCATATACCCATTTACTAAGACGTACAAATCAGTAATGCTTATTGTACTAAGTCTACAATTTTGCTTAATGTTCAAAATCGATCCGAGTGCAACTTTTCCCATAGTGCAAAACGTTATAAAAAAATTGATTATATACATACACCTGTCGTTTAACACGGTTAGAAAGTTATCTTGACAAAATTTGGAGCTTAAAATCAAGTCTTGCTAATAAAAAATGATAAAGTTTATGTACTGTATTGCTAAAGATTACAGATAGATAGTGCATATAGAGTTGATTCGGTAAAATATTTAGCGTAAACTAATGACATCCAAAGCCATAATCAAGCGGTGCAATCTGAATTGTGTTCTTGTGGTGTGCAGTACGATATTGTTTACAAATTTCTATATTGCAAAGAGTGAATTTTCGTTAGCATTATTAGATTTCTAAAAGGGTAACGACTACATATAATGCCATCACTGTAAATGCACTGAAAGATGGATTATTATGAACAAATCCACGTGAAATCATAATGTGTAAGAATCCTTTACTAGTTAGTAACTTATGCAGTAATATGTCATATATATTGGAATACAGAATATGAAAGTTGTCTTACACATTTTGTAAATGAAAATTAGTTGATCTGTAACTTGCGCTATTGGCAGATTGATCGACTAGAAATTGAATTAGCAAAATAATTAGGCACACAAAGACAACAACGAAGTTCCAAAATAAATAGACTTACTCGCTTTAGGATTGTACAGTCGATGAGTTAACCAAGAACCAATAATGATACCTAACAACTTTAGTAAAAAAAGACCAAAAAATTAGCCAAAATGACTATCTGGAATCCTATAATTAATTCATCAGTTAATGCTGCATTCATCAAGAGCAAATAATAAAATTGTCAACGGTAATCTTAGTAAACTTACTGAGAAAAAGCATTGGATTCCAGCATGAATGACCTCAACATACTAATTATAATTATACAAATAAATAAAAGTTATCAGTCCCAACAAAAACTCTTTTAACGTAAACAAATCAGATCTCGGAATTCTAGTCTCAATTAACATAATAGTAATCACTATAAATGTCAGTATAAATATGAAAAATTCTTAAAGGAATTATTATAAGTTTAGATATTACCATACCTTGTATTCTAAGATACATCCCGTTACTTTCGCAATGATTGCCGAACTCGTTGAGCCGGTCTGAGAGCTCGACTCATATTCAACGGTGCAGCCAATTCCATTATTTTTCCACCAACTTGCGCTTTCCGTATTTATTGTTAAAATAGTGCCACCCTAAAAAAAAGGAAGTAAAGCATTATTGATCATAAATAGAAGCAGCCAATGATATTAATTTTGTCACATATAAGGTCAGCGATCTCCTTTTATTTGCCAATAAACCTTTTAATCATAGTTTGTAATAATTTATATGATTCTAGGCGATTACAACTTTCCAAAGCAACGATTTAACGCACACGCAAATTGAAATCACCTGTTTAAAAATGGAGATTTCCAAGTAGGTTAACATCACTGCAACATTGCAAGCAATCCACGCGAAGGACCAAATTAGATACTAAAATATTATAAAGAATTTTTCACCCAAGTCAGTCTTTAAAACACTCCAATTATCAATTTAATCGAGGCAATTAATAGCTCATTAGCATTAATTCATGAATGTACTGAATGCCATAATTAATGTAAGAATGCAAAGCTTAAAAATTTGTAATTTGTGTATGTTACAACTAAAAGAATTCCTTAACATGGATTAATATATAGGCACAGAAACACGTGAAAAATATGAAAGAAATAGCAATGACATTACCGTACAAACATTACGAATGTTGACCATACCGTAACTATTTTATGAGAATACCAACTATGTCAAAAATACTAACCATAATCAAATAACGTGGTCTGAATTGGTAAGCTCCGAAAGTACCGACGACGGTAATAAGGATAGCCACAAAGTTACCAATAATTAAAGCCCAGACAGCACCCATAAAGTCGAATGTTATACGTTCCAGAAGAGAAATCTAAAAATTTAATCAAGCGTCAACTTGAATCAGTTTCTGTAATAGTAGACATATACAGTATAATAAGCAGTAAATGTTACGTAAATATCGATAAAAAAGATTTCACAATTGTTCAAAACGATAAAAGTCAAAATGTCATCCATTCATTTTTTAGCTGTAAAAGTATAATAGGAAGTTTACAACTTTGCAAACAGTATGAGACTTTCGATCTATTATTTATTGGTAAGATAAGGTGAAATAACCAAGAATGAACAATTTTAAATTAACTAACTGCACAAAATAAATTAAATTAAATTATGCACACTTGACGAAATTAGCGAGATATAGTACTGTGAAAATTACAGTAGTAAGACGATGAACGTCGCAATCAGAATAGTACATCGGAAATCAATTTACAGCTTTAAACTCATGCTATTGTATATATCTTTCGTTGCGTATTTCCTATCCAATAGTGATTATTTGCAGTCAGTACAATTTAATTAATTGATTGTAAATAGTAGCATCACTTCAGTAAGGTTTAGCCATTATATAAGGACGGCCATAAAATTAGTTCAATCTAACCAGAATGTAGCAAAATTTCCGTTTCTCCAAATAAAGTTAAGAAAATGGTTATGCTCGTAAATCATAGGTGAATGTCGATTGTGGGTTGTTTTGTATAACTAAACACAGCTAAGTACTTACCGTTCATATAAATTCATGCTTTAAGTTGAACAGAATCGTATATATAATTATAATTAACGAAAGACTATATCTTTCATCGTAATACTGTATGCGGAAAGATGTTCGCCTACGGTCAGTACAATCTGCAGAGAAAGTGTAGGAATAGTGAAAAGTTTCTCAATTTGAAGTTCGGCGATATACGCGTAAAATAAATATTACGGAATTACGATTTGTATGGCGCTCCGTACTGCAAGTAGTGCAACATAGAGCAAAGTTAAAAGTAAAATCTTGCTGCCATTTTAAACTAATTCTAAACCAACGTAGTTTTAATAAATTAGTACCGCAAATTCATTAACACTCGTGTAAAAACCGCAAAGCAAAACCTGCAATAAGCTTACAGTTGGGCAATATTTTGAAAGAAAAGGCCAACAAGGCCATAATATTGTCACGCAATTTTAAATTGATTTCCGAAATCAGATCTGATCTTTCCTCGAATGTGCGCTTTTACAAATTGGAAATAAGCTTACGGTTAGGATAGAATGTCAATGCCTTTTTCACATTACAGTAATTGATTTCTTGAAATCATGTTACGACCTTCTTTTTAAAAAAATAGTATGTGCATTAAGGTTCAGCATACGACAAATATTATTGCGTCTCTTCCTTTAAGTTTTGTACATTCAATATAAGTACGAAGGAAATAGTAAGAGATAATGATAAAGGAAGAATAAAATGAGTGGATTGATCCCTCGGATTAATAAAAATTGTCAAGGTACAGTATACTGTAATCACAACTGCAGTAAGTGGTTTCTGACAAATAACCGGCTCTCTATTAATAATTTAGATAGAAAGGCACCATTAATTGAAGTTGGAAATATTTTAACTCCATGTGATAACAGCAGTTGGTGCACAAAGTTTATTTTTCACTGGTGACGAAATAGTATTTTTGATTACTGCTATGATTGCAATCAATTTACAGTCAGCCACTTGATTTGATTACGCCCGGCTGGCTTGGAATCGAGTATTGTTTGTTTAAAAAGGGTTTCTCCGATGGAATTTATTTTATGACCGATTGAAAACGAAATTATTGAATATACAACTCCCATTTGGAACTAATACGAATACTTGTCATGACAGGATCTTCGATTACTGCTTCCGATGGAAAAATGCTAAAGTGTTTGTAAGATCCTATCTATCTCCACTGTATATTGTACATCGTGATTAACATTGCAAATGTAGAATTCATCCTGCAGCTACTGTGCTATTTTACATGGCGTTGTCGTCGTTACAACTTGAAAGATTCATTCTAACATAAATACCTAAGCCTGTCGATAGAATGGATCATTATCCACTATAATGTTGCTCTATGTGGTGCATTTGTTGCTGTCTACCATACACTACAATTTACTTTCTATTAATTAAGATAGTTTTGTTCAAAACCAGCAGCGGAAAGTTATTTACAAAATTCAATTAACTGATTCTATCGTCAATGCGTATGCGACGGATTGATTCAGGTCACTGATGAAGTAGAACGTATAGTGGAGTTTTTTTGCAGATTGACGATTCATTCTCTATCGCCAGATGATGGTAAAATAACAGAGTATCATCCATTTATTAGTATTAATTTTGTGATTAGAAGCAAGGAGAATGGAAAATATCCAATCAAAAGTCTTTCAAAAATAAGAAATGAATTTATACTATACCAGTTGTAAAATGAGGATCGCCATGGTCCATGTTCTTAGCGTACCACAGGCCATGTTTGCCGTCACTTTGGATCGCGTTTACTGCTTGTAACGACGATATTAAGCTTTCTAAAGTGGAATTCAACTCAGTTATCCTACAATACTGTTCTAAAATCAGTCAATACAGTATCATCAACACCGTAACAAAATGGCGATCTGATTTGCCTTTTTCTTCCTTCTATTTTACAACGACGATAGCGATCTAGATCACCAACTGGCAATACAATATATATCTAAAATATGTAAATGATCGCGTAGATGGCAGCAGTCGGCAGAGTTAAAAGCCTTCACCTTTGACTGCCAACTATGGAAGATTTTACAGGGGCTAGTGACTGGCAATTTGCCACATGGGATATAATGATGATAAGGCTTCAAGGTGTTGAATGGTATAGTATACTGTTTTGATGCTACCATATTAAAACATAGTAGTATGCTTCATGCCGTAGTGCCAGAGTACCATAGAGTAGAGTAGAGTACAGTAAGGTCATGATAGGGATACAGTATGGAAAAAAAATGCATCGTATGTAACCACCAACCGCTGCTTCCTTGAACCGTTCTCAACCGTACCGTACCACCTACAGAGGTATTCGTGTACAGTACAGTGCACTGTACACTGTACACTACTATACAGTACTGTACAGTACTGTACTGTACTTTACAGCGTGATCCTTTTCGTTTCAGAGAAATCAACACTAATGTTTTGCGATATTTTGACAACGAAATTCATCAAAATTATTATGTGTGGAAAGAAGAAGCTCTCATAAACATGCCTGTATAATTTATTTTGGTGAAATAAATGATTTTAATTCGTTTTTTTCACGATTTTGTACAGTACTGTACTGTAAAAGCCTTTTCTCTCTACTGTATCGATGGTGACCTGGACAGTACCGTACTGTACATTACTCTACAGTAAGCGTTCACTTTATGACCCGCAATATTACAGGCAAATATTAGCTCTTAGCAGACTCGGTGTACGCGTGCGTATACCAGATGATAGCTGATAGATACATATTTGCTAGATACGTATTTGCTACAAAGCGAAGCTTGCAATTACAAACGACAGAAATAGAGTCCACCTTTTAAGTGAGCTCACTTAGGTGACCAATACTAACTCACTTGAACGAGGCATAAACACATTTTTATAGCTTTCTGTTGAGTAGATAACACTTCCAACAGGTTATAATGTCTTCTCCAAGTACTGTAGAAAACGACAACTTATTCTCAATGTCTCCAATATGACCTCACAATTTTTCAGTCTAGCGTAGTTGGTTCATTGAAATATATAAATAAATATTATTATTACTTGATATTATTTTTTTTTTTTGGAATAACGAATTCTTGGCCAGTTTACTCCTCTTAATATCATACAGAGTATTTGGACGCTAAAGTGGCCCATAACTCCTAAGACTAAAATTAAATAAATGAAATACTTCTGTAGCATTTACTAATTATACAGAACTGTACTGTATGTTAAATAACTCCGAAGACTAAAAATTAAATAAATGAAATGCTTCTGTAGCATTTACTAATTATACAGTACTGTACTGTATATTAATTACTAATGCAATCAGTAAAGGTAGAAAATAAATGATATCATATTATATGCATATTGTTTTAATTAAATCATTCATCATTTAAACCTGGTGAGACCATATACAGTACTTTATACGTAAAAACGATAGCAATGTTATAATAACATACACGCACGTATCAAATCCAATTAAAATGATTAAAATTTGATGGGTCAGGACATTGAAATCCTATTGCCGTGATCATTCATTCATGATAAGAACCAGGCTCCCTCATGGTAGTATCACCAACCCAAAGTTTATGCATAGTCTGGTACAAGGCATCGCTAACAAAAACCTACAGTACATAGAAACGATTTACAGTAATGTCATACGTCCAAATACGTACAAAGATGCAAGAAGAAATGTTTGATACCTTATACGTATTCAAATTCGAAAGTAATTGATGATCCCTTCTTAGGCTATTAACTTGATTTTGACAATAATTTCGAATATCTACTAATTTGGGTATTTCTTTACATGATTTTCCTTTTATCCAATAGTTACAGTTCATCTCTTCTACTCTAGATGGAACGATGTATTTACGCTCTGATTCTTGAAAAGGATGACAGCAAAGTACTTGCTGATCGACAAGTGGGGGTGATTCATCATATTTCTGCAAGAGATCCGCCAATGGGCTACCTTCAGATTATAAAAAATTCGGCGTTTAAGCTACTACACATCAATGAGATCCTAACCCATGACCGATCAAACAAGTAACTACATCATGCAAGCATTAATCCTATCTTTACTACCATTTTCTCCAAATAATCTATACACTTTCTTTTTCGCAGGCAAGGACAATTTAGATCTTTCTTGAGTCAACTTCATTTTAGCAACACCGTCCAATTCGACTAACTTCATATCAAGATGAAATTGTGATGCTTAGACGAGCAATCAACTTCAACCATACATTTACTATAAATAACCTACAAAAAAGATCCTTATAAACTACCTTGTATACGCAGCCAAGTGCAGGCTGTTCTTGGCAAGTGACCAGATGAGTTCCAATACCGTATGCATTAATCTGGTGACCCTAAAAGAATACCGTAACAAAAAAATAATTCATCTCTAACATAAATATTGTATTATTATTATTGAAATTAGCTAGATTTAGTCATTAAGACCTGCTGGTTTAAGGAATTCATGGTCCGCACATTTATATCATTACTAGCAACTATGGTTAATAATGAAAGCCATGGCTTATTTAACCTATATACCATTCATATCAGATAATCAAGAGCTTAAAAAATCGCTAGCCACTGTCCATTTTGTTGACAGTAACAGCTACAGCAATAGTATGAAGTGATAAATCAATGCAATAATTTACTAACCTTTCGGCTAACAGTTGAAATTGGCACCTGCTCTGTCTTGAAAGATAAGCCAAGTCACCTGAATCTAATCGAATGCCTTTAGCACGATATCCAGCCTCGTCTAATGCAAGTGTTACGGCGCAAAAACAGGGTATGCCACTTCTACATCAGTTAAGTTCGATAAGGCGATCAAATTATATGTTATTTTGATCCAATAATAAATATAATAAATACAATATAATAAATACAATCCGTTGATAGCAGATTCAATATAGAAATGTGAACTACACCATGCACAATACGAATATTGCGGTTACACCTCTTCGAGGTTTAGATATTTTTACCTGATTACGTCGTAAGTATCAACAAGTGCCAAAAAGTTTGTAGGAAATGCAATTGCAATAGAAATGAATGCAGCCAATTCACCTTCGATAATCTCATCCTCCGCAACGTCTAGCATTGGGGATATTTGAGTAAGCCATTTTTGTGTGCCACATTTTAAATCAAACAACTTGCTATCGGAACCAGTGGCATATTGCACATGAGTTTTACAAAGATCCGTTAAGCCAGAAAAGGACATAACAAAAGCATGAGAATGAGTACCAACAACAGGGATTGAGAAAAGTTTTCCGGCCAGAACATTGCTTGTACCATTGAAACCTTGATTTAGAAAATAGCATATATAATCTGTGATATACAGCATATGCAGTTAATCAAAGGCTATTATCCTAATGTCTGTCGTCTTTTACTCAATGCCTATGTTGCCAAACTAATAGACTAGAGTTTCAATATATACAGTAGCATGACAGTATCACACTATTTGGCAAATGATTCAATTTAATGTCAACAACCTCCGATATAGCAGTATCTTGAAGCAGATAAGCCACCATTCGGTCCCTGAGCACGGCGTAAACCAAATTCGAATAATGGTTTATCATTTCCAGCTGTTAGGCGAAACCTCGTTGCGTTGGTAGTTACAAGGCTGTCTCCGTATAAACAAATAGACCGTCCATTGTTTATTGTACGTAACTCTATGATTCTTATTACTATATTCTTAGCAGCATCACTTATTTATATTCCCAATTAATAACTACATCACAAATCCACTAGGACCAGGACTGGATTAACACTGACTATTTATATTACTGTGTTATGCTGTATCATAATTGCGAACGCGTACGATATGTCACAAATACAAGAATATAACGTAACTTACAGTATACAGTATATTACTAGCTGCAACTCCAGCACACCTACATATTCTAAAATTTACACTGCTGTAATACATAGTCATTTTAATTTAGTTAGTAAGAATTGAAATGGCGCCCAATGATTGTGGACGATACAGCAGTCAATGGTAACTATGTCAGAAATATGGTATGCTTTTAGTTTTAGCTCATCTTTCTTAGGAAGCCTAATATCAAGAACTTTTTAAATTAAAGAAAAGAGATGGCATTACCTTGCATAATTCACGAGGGTAAGTAAAGTTGTTTCCATAAGTAGGACAGCTACCCTTGCAATAAGATAAATGCTGTAGTCATGGTAAACATTAATAAATGAATTCAAAGCTACTAATAATAAATTACTCGTTAGAAAACGGTCCTCTTCTACTGTGGTAATGTATTCCATGACTGCACATAAATTTGGCGTAGTCGACTCAACATTGCAATTTTTTAATAAGTTATATTCATTATTAGCAACAAGTATGGTACTCAGTAACTGCAGTTTAAAATGCCTAAGCTACGAAAGTTTACGATTTTTACGCATGCAACCATTCATTTAAAGCGACAAACAGTAGTTAGCAGTTTAAATGATGTACTGTATATTGCACTCCTACCTAATAAAGCCACTGCATCACTAAATTTGCATGCTCTTGATAATAGCTAACACAAATGACGTTGCGATATTTTATTTCGCGAAAATTTGTTTCAGGATATTATCAAGGACAACAGATAAAGTTGCTTACTAGCTAAAGGACCTTCAACTCTTAGCAAAGGCACTCTGGGAAATACCACTGAACCCTCCGGGACAGCTGCAATTGTAACCTGGTCCCCGTGTATGCCAGAAAGAAAATGAAAGAATTCTTCTTCAACAGAGGATGGCAGTATGGATTTTACATAGTCTATATCTGATAGAATTTGATGAATTTATTTTCTAAAGCATGTTATTATTTATTTACAGTAATTATTGCACCATCAGAATTAGACATTGTTGATTAATTAAAATAAACTAGATTACAGCAACTCTGTCCGAGTAGTGTATTGTTCTTAGCAATACCATTGGCAATACGTAGATAGAATAAGTAATAATATTCTAATTCATTTACACTATCTGAGTTTCAACAGGAACTGTCTGCTTTCATAGTCTTATTAAAAGCTATAGCGATAGCTTCTACAAGTAGTAATTGTATGCTCCATACCTGATTTGCTGTATGCAAAATTGGAAACGAACTCAATGCAATCACTCAATCCAGCAAATATTGTATACCCTCCCTTAAATGGGTTATTTCGAAAAAATAATTCAAAGACTGCAGCCTGACTTTGTTTATTAAATTTCCAGTAAGCGTATGCCATTGTGATCTGATATAAATCTGTAAGCAGTGGCTGAACAATTCCTTGATGCACCATCTCAGTAGCCATTTCACAAGCTTGCTATTTATTGTTTATTTATATTTTTATATCAGGTGCAATAAACTAACGCAAAGAAGTGATCCTAAAATACTGTACACAGTACAGCAGTGTACACAGTGTACAGTGTACAGTACAGTACTGTACAGTATCAGAAGCTGATTGCTCAATCTGTTTTTCTGGCTTTCTTTAGATACTATCCTGTACTGCACAGGTTAGCTAGCTCATTATTTCAATCAAGCAGCCTGTACCAGATCCCTGAATGCATAATGCATTGTTCAGTATGCATGTAATTGAGTGTACTGTACTACAGTCTAAGACTACAGTACAGTACAGTACAGTACACTGTAAACCACTGTACTGTACAGTACTGTACTGTACTGTAACTGACTGTACTGTACTGTACAGTACTGTACAGTATGTACCGTACCTACTGTACACTTGTACTGTTCTATACAGTACAGTAGATTAGTAATGTTCTTCGTTTGTTTGTTTGTTTTAACGACACGTGCGTAAGCTGTACTGTACTGTACTGTACCGTACAGTAGCGACCCTTCTTTTTATGTACTGTACTGTACACTGTACAGTACAGTACAGTACAGTACACTGTATAGCAGAAATACTGTACACTGTACAGTACAGTACAGTACAGTATTTGATAACTCGGCGTACTGTACAAAACTAAAGGTTAAAGCATGTAGCGAAAGCCCTCTGTCCAGACGGTACGCTACCGTACTAATGTCCAGTACTGTACTGTACAGTACTGTAAACGAAAAGAAAAATACTGTACTCTACAGTACTGTACACTGTACAGTGTACAATGTACTGTACTTCTGGTGACTGATACACAGTACGATTAGTCAAGATCCTAGGCTGTAAATACAGTACACTGAGCATAAGCGCATTGCAGACGATCTATCTATTTTTCGAAGCGGAAGATGGCAGCTACGCGAGGTATGAATTTGACGTTGTTACTTATCATTGATGCTGTTTAAAGAGTAGCAATTTGAATTTTTCATAGTTTTAATGGACTAAATAGACCTTATAAAGTAAGTCATGGTAGAACATAGGCAAGGCGATGCATTTCATGCTCGTAGCTATACTTACTAAAAATTAGTAATTGCGGCACTTTACAATCAATCCTTCGTTTGAGCGTGTCTCGTTTGCTATGAGAATCTTCTTTAAGTTAGCCACGTGGCAACTCCCAAGCTTTCATCAACCTTAGCCGTTAATGAAAATTGTTTTCAAATACACATGTCATGTTCGTTAAATTTTTGCATTTTACTCAGGGCCTCTTAATTATCTGTACATTAAAATGTTCCTGGTAGACTGATTCAATAATCCAGAAAAGAACTTCGATCAAGCCTAATAGACTGTAGTGTAGTGACTTTTAGCCTGCATAGCGATCAGCATAGTTATTCACAATATGAACACGTTTTCATAAGGCTTTATAGTTCTACCTAAAATTTTAAATTGCAGTGCTGAAGTAGCAGTTGAAAGACGTATGGCTTCCCCTTGATAAATATATAGTCTAAAATAGATAAGGTCGTTGCGGTATCTTCGATCAACTAGCAGAACAGTACTCTAATTTCGTCTCGTGGCTTTCGCGTGCTTGAATTTTTTCAGTAAATTTAGTTCACAGTGAGTACTGTATGTACACTAAAGGCCATCAGACTACAAAGTTTATACTTCCCTGGTGCCGAGTCTATAGCAGATCAATTGCAAAACTTATTTTTGACTTAAGAATAGCAAAAAAAGTATCAAAAGAGGTAGTTATTTCGTTTGACTTAGTTCTCAATGCGTACACGTTTAGCTGGCCATGAGTTCAAGATAAATTTTATCTCTTATGAAATGGTTCCGTGAATCGCAAAGATTTAAGATGGGTTGCTGTAAGGGATTACTTGATTTTCGATAATTTTGCTTAAACTAGCTTCAGCTTTCGCATGTGTAGATAGACGAAATATTATGGAAAAAACGTTATTTGAATAAAACTGCATTTGAGAACTTAGTCTACACTATCTACATACCGTACTCGACTTTCAATAAATTAATTTCGTAATTAATTTTGTTACCCATTTAGAGTGAATCACATTAAAAATAGATTGTTCATCCATAATCCGTCATAAAATTTATAGAATGTTAACGGGATCTTATTAACGTACTTTAGAGCGATTTAAAGGTAAAAAATGCTAGACTAGTTGAAAAACATGTGATTTTGAACTATCCAGTGGTTATGAAATTTTACTCTGTCGGTTGATTGATTTTTTCAATTTTTTCCTTTGTGTAGTCCTTCACGCCCGCTAGTGTATCGTACAGTATAAATGGTAAAGTACTGTTCTGCACTTGTGAGTTTCGAGCACGTGAGCAGTACGTTATCATGGAGGTAAAAAAAAAGGAAGGAAATGATCTTCTTTGCCTACAGTACATACATACAGTACTATACTGTAGCGTACAGTGTATTGTACTGTACGTACACTCGTGCGGTACTGTCTATTTTTTCTCACACCTGTCAGTAGGGGCCTTCGTTTGTACTTTTTTTACATCGGGAAATAGTGTACAGTACAGTCCTGTCCATAGTTTGATTAATTAAGGATAAACAGGCTTGATAAGGTCGCACTGTAGCGCAACTGTGGTAATTTGCATCCGTAAGTGGCCTACTGCAGTGCTGTATACACTACGCTTGATGCTTAAATTAATCAGTACTCTCGAACGTTTGGATTACATTGTAACACGCTCATGACGGCAGTATGTAGTGGGTAATGTAATACAGCAATGACATCAGTTGATTCGTTTATATCTACTTTTTAACAACCGGTTACTTGAATAATGTTTATTGGCGCGAGAGATTGTAATTGACTCTGATAATATCCTAGTAAGCATAAACTGTTGCAGCCGTAATTATTTAGGGATTAGTAATTAATTCGCTCTTGCAGAAACGTAACATGTGAAATGTAAAGCAGCACAAGTCGAAAAGTACATTACAATATTTATCTATTTATCCATGCTGTATCCTATAGCTATAGAAATCATATACTTAGTAATGAACCAAACGGAAATGTACGGTGTAAAATTAAACGCAAATATAATTGGATGAATGAATATTTGACGACGTCTCAGGTATTTTTCTTGATCCTACGTAATACGATACATTTACTGATTCCAATGTAGGGATTTGTTTGGCTCTCTCGCTTTTTGTAATCTGCTGTTCAGCGTTACAGGTTGATGTCGTGCCAGAAAATGATCTTCTGCAATTAATTCAAAAACTGAAGGCAGCTCAACCTTACAAAGATTTAGTAACTGCATACTATTCTGTTGTTGGTCTTGAAGCACTCAATGAAAAAGTGCCTGAAAACCAGGTATGATATAAATTAATGACTAAATACGTATGTAGAAGAAGATAGCACTCTTTAACCAAGCTTGATACAATCTAGTTTAACTCTGTTTACGAAGCGTATTAGTGTTTATCTCACTTGACGATGATAAAACTTCTACTAGGATGTTTGTGCATTTATCAAGAAATCGATGACTTCGAATCTCGTTAACTTATATTTTGGTGCGTTTATTGGAGACAGTTTAAAATGCAACGTAAGTGTCTAGTTTTTCTATCGAGAAAATTATGAACGTTGTAATCTGTTTAATGCCGCCGCGTACTGTGAATTAAGGTGCAGTCAAAAACAGATTAACAGATCATAGGTCTACGGTAGAACTATTATAAAACGTTTGCATTGCTTACTGTGGATTATGTTTTGCTAACCTAAATGCTTTTAATGTCAAATTTTAGTTGACACCCCCAAAAGATGCTCAAAAAGTACTAAATGATGTTATACTTGATGGCCGCACTACATTCTTGATTTATCAAGCTGTCGGTGCTCTAACAAAGTTCAATCTTAAAGGTATACTGAAATAAATTTAGCAATTTTTCTATTGATTACTATGTATGTTGCACCTAATTTCAGTGATTGCAGTCTGCATACGAACGTTACAGTGATAATGAAATTACAATGTTGATATTGTATTGTCTTGTAGTTGATGCCTCTATGGTGGTTAAATCCTTGAAATCTGCACTAGAAAAAGATGATAGCACTGCAAGGTTAGAAAATTTATATGGTAACTAATTTAAATACATCTGAAGCTTCTGCTTCACCAGTCTTCCAATGAGGGCATCCAACGGACTGGCCTCTGTTGGCGCTGCCCATTTGGCTTACGGAGCTTAGTGCCTTTGCGCACAAACTTTATGAAGTATAGTCCACAGCCAATGCATTGGATATCAAGCCGTGCTAGCGTACTACGAGAAATCATAGTACGCCAGGCTGTCGGCAATTGCATATTCCTTGCGTTTCCTGTAGTCACTATGTGACAGTAATCAGGGAGATAAACCATGCAATAAACATTTACAACTACATATTAGTTTCATAACTATGATCAACTTTTCCTGTATTGAGATACCTGTATTGTTGTTTTACTGTCATTTTTTGTATATTAACGACAGTCACAGCTTCGCCTTTCATGCCGCAGCTTTCTTACCAAAAGATGCCGATATTGGCACAATCCCTAATGCCATAGGAGAAGTACTAAATCAAGCCGATGAAATTGGTGATAAGTATTTGCAGTTTGATGGCGGGATTCGAGATACGATTTTATTTGTTACGGGAGTGTACCGTCTATGCTATGCAAGAGGTCTTACTCCAGCTATTGACAATGATCAAGCAATTAAGCTTGCCAATTACATTGTTAGCAAGAGGCATGTTGGATCCGTTAGAAACGCATACTATGTTGCTCTTGGGCTTCAGGCTTTTACTGAAAACAAGGTAGTTAACTTCCTTTGTAGATTTTCATTTTTGTAAATGCACACAATACTGAATAACTATTCGAATTATCAAAGGAGGCATAATGTGACGTCAACATGTGATCTAACTTAAAAATGTTAATAAATAGTTTCAAATTCCCGGAAGCGTTGTCCTGACTAGTCAAGCCCTCATCCGGAAAAACGATGGAAATATTGTCGTAAGTTAACTTAGCCTGAATAGTTGTGTTTATTGGTAATTATCATTATACATCCTAATTTTATTCAATTAATTTGCTAAACCCAATGATTTTGAAATATAGGTGAAAGCATGTAATATCTTAGGGAAACCTTTACCAAAAATGGACGTCAAAGCTACCTCGATTGTGTCCACTGAAGGAAACACCATCGCAAGTGATGTTGATCTTGTAGAAAAATCAGCTGGTGAATACCAGTTTGATTTTAATAAAATGAAGCCTGAACGTGGATTTTATACTGTTCATTTTAATGTTGCACCTGTTGTGGAAGATAAACGATTAATTGGATTACAAGACTCTAGCTTTAAAGTTAAAAAGGTTGTCAATGTTGCTGTTGAATCCTTCAAAGTAAAAACTAGCGACATAGACCAAGCTTCAGTACAGAAAGAAGCAAGGTACGTGTGTACCTGAAATTTAGGTACAGTCAGGTATTACTGTAATCGAGAAAGAATAGTCCCTTGTACATTATATCATTCTTGTAATAATTTTGACTACTTCTATATTTGAAGTAAATCTATATCAATAATTTCATGTATCTTTTTGCCACGTCGAATTTGTATTATAGGGCGACTTTTCCAAAAGGACTAGCTTCGAATATTCAAGCAGATGAGCATTCGAATGTAGCAATTGAATTTATTGTTAAAGATGTTGAAAAAAATGTGGAAATTGTACCTCAACAGGTTAGCAATAGTAATATTATCATTTTATTGTTTATATTGTATCCATAATTCCCAAAATGATAATTATAAAATTAAAGGAAATAATGAAATTATTCTTGATAAACACAGGCTTTCTTAAGATTGGCATGTGACAAATGTAATGTAGATCGTTCTTTCTTATTCACTAACCGAAATGAACAATTGCTATCGCTAGAATTGGTATGTATGCTATTACATAGTAGTAAATCTTATTTATCGAATCGTAATGTCAGTTTTAATACTTAAAATCAGGACATTACCGAACTCCGTAAAACCTTCTACTCACAAAGTGGTAACTACTCTATGGACGTAATTATCGGCGATCCTACTTTTTCCAACCAGATTTATTGGAAAGTGGTAATAATCAACAATATTATTATTATCGTGTATATTACAAAGGACAGTATTCTTTATTCTTTAGAGAGATTATAGTTTTAATGTTGTTTTTTACATGAATCACCCAGGGTAGTCTTAGTCTAAAGTTTACTACGACTGGTGCTGCGGCTCCTTCGACAAAAATTCCTCCAAGCTCTAAACCAGAGATACAGGTTCTTGAATTAATGTACTCAATAAGAGTAGGCGATGTATCCAGTTTTCACTGATCTAAAAAATTTTGGGGGATTTTAGCATGTGTTCCGTGTTCCCGAAAAACGCCCTCCAGAGCTCGTATCTAAGGCTTTCACCCTACTAGTTTTATCACCTTTGGTGATTATGTTTGTAATGGTAAGTGCTGCTTGTTGCAGTATTTCGAATTTATAGTTATCGTTCTTGCTACCTTTCGATGGAAACTTAGTATCAACGTGAAAATATTGTTGTATAAAGTGTGATCATTAACAGTTGAAAGACAGTCATGTTTCGCAACAGTTAATGTCATACTGCAATTTGATCAATACAAAGGCTGCCGGGCAATGATTATCTCTGGAAGCTTTAATATCAAATTGCAAATATCATTAATCTACATCCACCAGTATTTCTTCTGTTTTATAAGACTTACTGACTAAGATTAGATCACATTTTCTTAGAAACAGATGTAATATATGAAGAGCTACTTAATTCGAGTATTTTTATAATGGCCTATTTTTTAATTTTTACAGTGGAATCTATTCGGAGCAAATGTATCTAATTTTTCCTTTACGTTGCCAAATATCGTCTTTCACTTAGGAGTTGGTGGTAAGTTAGTTTAATAACTTAACAACAATCAGATAACTATATAATACACACGTATACTAACACTGTTTTAATTCCTAAATAGCCATCTTTTTGCTGTATTACTGTTACTGGACCAATTTGGTAAGATACCATTAATTAGTATCGAATATTTTCAATTTGTAAATATTAACGCAACTTCTTTGATTGTAGAATATGTTTACTACTCTGAAATATCTTGCCGTTATTGGTGGAATTACGTTCGTATCCGGAACTTCAGTACTAAGGTCCATTGCCAATGATAGGTAACTTACAAGGCTCGTGATTTTTTGCTTAAACATGATAAACATGTTTAAGAGACAAATATTCTTGGGTCTTGGATCACTAATCGTTGTCTGCAATATATTTTACTCTAGGATGAAAAAGGAACTGAGGTAATCGTGAATCAAAGATCTGAATTGTTATTAAGTCTACGAAATTATTGTAAAACAAAAATTTTTATCCCCCTCTTAAAAATAAACTTTTATGAATTTTACGAAAACGAATTAGTCTTTGAATTTCAATATATGTTGTTACGGGTATACACTAAATAGGCGATATCAGATCTTGAGTGGTGTGTTAGACGTCGAAAAGTTGTCCATTGCTTTCGTATACCGTTAGGAACTAACAATGGCGCTTAAACTTCTTTGCAAGAAACATATTTACCTTACATATTTGTTACTCCTTTCGAAGAATTATATAATTATTTACGCCACCAGTGGCTATAGTTGTTCTTTACCGAGCTTGTAGTACACAAACTAGACTCAGTTGTAAGACACTTATCGAAGTCAGATTGTAATCGCAAACTTTTCAGGGCATGAAATTTACTTTACTGTATACTCTGATAATATAATAATTCTGGTGCGATGTAAGTGGGAGATGGTTATGGTAACGACCAATTTTATTCAAAGTGTTAGAAAGCATAAATTTGTCGGTATATATCTGAGCATTAAATCGATAGCAGGCATGCGCTGTACTAATAACAATAATTTGATCGAAATATTCTTAATTGCCTCTACACGTTTAATTAAAGGCTAATTTTTAAAATTTTCTCCGGTAAATCCTGGTGAATTATTATATAATCAATGGATATGATTGGGAGTCGGTGGTTTCTTTGCCATCAGCTTCGATGAAACATAAAAATTAGGAGCATTATACGAGTATTTTGATGTTTACGGGCATATCGATGTATAACATATATAATCATACGAGTATTTCAATCTCAGTGAGGCATAATAGGCAACCCTTTCGTAATATAAACCCAATTATGAAAACTTTAAATCTGTATATGAATTCCTATTGTACGTAGTAATCAATGGTATTGGTTCTATGGAGCATCCTAACTTTCATAAATCAGTGACTAATTGCATAGGCTTACAGTAACTAGTAATGTTCTTTTCTAACTTGCATGTAGATATGAAGTCAAAACTACTAAATCATTGGGTAATAGTACGACACTGACCCTCAGCAAGCTATATACAGTATGACAATTTGGTATAAAGCAGCAAGGAAAAGCATCATTTCATGAATAATTTTATTAATTAATTTATGGATATATAGTAACAGATAAATATTAACATAACATACAACAAATACGTATATATATGTATATAAGATACGGCTAATGTCCAATATTTTATATAAATCCACAAATAGTGGTGCGTCGTCGAAATAACTAATCGATGCAATAATAATAAGCAACATTTATCCTGGCAATCGACTGTATGTTACTGATCTCCATACTTTTATTCGTCAAGTTTCAAGTCGATAAAAATTCTGTAATTTGCCGGTAGATCTAAATTCAAGAGATAACTTGAGCATTTTGTTATGCATATATACTTCACAGCACCACTGTTTTCCTGCGATGGAAATAAGCACCACTCTCACTTAGAACTAGGTTCCAGTAGTCGCTCTCAAGGATCTCCTCCAGATTGATCTCTAATAATGAAAAATAAAAGTTCTTTCAATCAGGTTTTCCTTTCTGAAAAGTTATTGTAAAACTTGGATTAGCTAGAATACAACGTAGCATTATATTGATAACATTAAATTGTGTCATTTTATGAAGAATCTGTTAAGTCTATAGAATAACCTCTAGTTACATTCTTAGAAAAAGCTGAATCTTTAATCACTTAAATCTAAGTAATGCTTGTGATTTGTTTTCTACCAGTTAGAAGGTATACATTCGTATAAAAACTTATGCCTGCACGTTCTGTTTATAAATTTTATTATTCAATACATTATACTATGTATTTATTAAATAACAGGATGAAACTCAATTCATAGTGCTGCAAAGTAACAACAACCGGTTTAACTTGACCCAACTTTAGCAGCAAGTATTACTTACTTTTAAAGCAGAACCGGCAGACTGAAATTTCTCTTCGATCACTTTCATCGTATTTTCTGAACCTTCCCTTCGTAATAAGCAGAAATAACGGATCAATTTCCATCATTAACTATTTTACCACAAAGTCTTTACTGAGGAAATCTAATTGTACTGTCGAAAGTGCTATCTTTTATGTTATAAATTTAGCAATCAAATACTTGAAGCGATCTTTCATCGTAATATTTTCATCTTGCGGTGATTGCATAGGCTCAGGATTCCCGGACTTCTTCAGATTGCTAAAGTATGAAAAATAATCTAGTCAAACATATCTGCTTGGACGAATGGCTGCATCGTAGCTGGTTAACTAATTCTTAGATTAAAAGACAAAGATCATATGTAATGATTTCAGCCAATTCTTGTAGTACAGTAACTGTAATACAGCAGGAGATTATTACAAGGTCATTCCATCATAATACACAGTGAGTAATCATTCAAGTAAACTGCGATAATTTTAACTTGATTTAGCTACAGTAGTTACATTAGTAAAGAGTATGGTGCTTGTAAAATACGATGTACAGTATATAGTGTAGAACATTCCGATGTAATTCCAGATCTTACAAAATAGGCAAACAGATATATGTCAATAAGATATAAAAGTTGAGGGCGATGAGAGTAAGCAAATGTGCAAGAGTGATGGCGATTTATGTGATAGAAGTTAATAGACAAGATCTGCAGTTAAATGTGAATGTAAGCTAATAGCTAACAGCTATTCTAGTTCCAAAGTCACAAATCTCTAAACGACACCAATTCTATACTACCTACAGCTCAACTAGATGTGCTAAATGGTTAATGTAAGCTAATTGATGACATCATCTTGCCATATGTCCCTAAGGCATTTAATGGCACTGAATAAGTCGTATAAATTACTTAGGTGTAAAAAAATAGAATTCAAATTTTCGCTTGTTCTTAAGCCAAAATTTGCTTTAAATGTGTGCTACACTTGATACAATATATGTAAAGAAGAGCAGAATATTTAATTCTCTGATGGAAAGCTTACTGACATAAACACATAATACCACATCATGGAATAGTATTGTTTCTGGATCAGTTTACCGGATACAATCAACTTACAACGTCATTTGGAATTTCTCTTTAAACTGGGTAAAGGGCGAATTTGTAGTAACTCCTAGTTCCTTCCGAAGATTTGTTAATAACTCTTCTTTTCGAGCGATCGTTTGATGTAAACTTTGTATTTCCGCTTCCAGCTAAGATATTACGAAATTGAAATTTTTATACTGTCAATATTGTATTGTTATACTGATGGATTAACCGCGTTACTTATAAATTCACTCAAGTTACTATGAAATGTAGCATTTTTGTATTATGAAGGTATATATATATATACTTGGAAATGCTTGTACGAAACATTGTTCTCAAGGTCTAACCTTAGTTATTTCATCTCTTATTTTATCTTTCTTTGCATCTTCAGAGATACTATTGTCGTTGGTGCCAATGGAACGTATATCTCCTTCGCTACTACTCTCTCGAGGAATGCCTTGATGTCCATTTTGACTGGTAAAACGAAAGAGACTCATAAAGCGGTTTGCAGACGATTGTGGCGGCAATCTAGTCTTCTCATCAATATCCATTCCTTCATCAACATCTTCATCTTTATCGTGTTCTAATCTTTGCGGTCTGATCTGCCCACCAAGAGAATGTGAGCGCCTAGCCTTTAGAGATCTAGTTGATTCTCCAGACATTCCTGAGAGCATCGTTTTTTCTGCTTTGGATTCACAACAGCCGTTGGAAAAATTTTTGATATCCGATCCGAAATAATTGACAAACTTTGTTTGAGAATCCTTTTATAAATACCGTTACATCGTACATAAAATATGTACAATAGCTAGCTCACATTTTCATGGCTTACGCTGATATATTGCAAATAAATTAATTATGAAATAATAATCTCTACTGTATATGCTTGATTTCAAAAAAGTAATTACATTTTAATGCAAATTAAATTAGGAGCTGTAATTTAATATAAAATATCATTTTTAGACTAGTTAGAGCATTGATTTGAATAATACTTCGATTAGTCTGTGTGTCTGCATGTCTGTACATCTGCATATGAAAGTCTTCGGTATATTTATATTTGTAGGTATTCAGATTACTCTCATAAATATTGTAGTAGCTGTTATGAAGATATTTTAGCTTTTAATTGTAGACTTATCACAAGAAAATGACTAAACAGCAATCCATGATCTGTTTTCAAGGTGATACAAATTTAACGCTACCTGATGTCAAGCTTGTGCTTAAAATTTCTTTGTGCACTACAAGCAATTTGAACAGTAAAGCATAGAACAGAGCATCAGATCTAACCTTTGAAAGACATCAAAACTCATGAGCATTTGTTGCTTGTTGCTGTTGTGGCTAGCAATGATACCCAGCACAAAATGTTCAATGCTTTCAAGTTCTGATTTGAGTGTTTCTATACTTTGAGTAATATCTGCAGAGTTAGATGCTCTTCGATAAAATAGCTATAAGTCCGGTGTAACCTTCATGCAATAAACCCAAATGTTTGCCAGCGATAAGCACATATTCAAATAGTAAGACCGAAAATACGTAAACACAATCTGTCACGTCTACATTTATTTTATTCAGACGGATACTTACCTTCCTATTATTTAATTACTCCTGCGTCTATTAATCTATAACATATAGACAATGTCTTCATGCCTTACCCTGGAACAGAATTTCACTACGTGTATTGGGTGGCATATGGCTATTTGCATGCCGTATGTATCCGATAGCCTAATGTACTTAGGTAATTAATTATATTTTAAATTAGAACTTTGGTCTCATAAGCTACCTTATTAATTTATAAATTTATTGTCCTTTTAGTTTTATAGTACGTAATGTACGGTAATTGTAAATTTTGGGAGTGCGTTACACAGTATCTCGCATGAGGTAGAAATTTAACGTTAGCTTAGCCACCTTTCCAAGTCTAGCTTATCTTGCACATCAATATGTGATATAGCACATAGTCAACATGCAGAGGCTATGATTAATATATTTTGTTGTACATCATAAAATTTAGCCCCTGCAGAAATGAGCTGAGAACGATACAAAGCAAGCCATGCATAAATAACGGCACTGGGTAATGATAATTATTTAGAATATCTACTCGGTTATGGTTAAAATTTTGTTCGTTAGTACAAACACCAAGATTGAACCTTTGATTGAGCACATTTTAAATACTTCAGATAAATCTATTTCTATTCTACAGTAACTTTCTATACTAAAACCTTTCATGGCTATAAGAGTTTCAATACTACTTTTGGACTTTTAGAATAAAAAATTCTGATCGGAGTATTAAGCTACTTTTATATCTTGAAGACGAATGGTATTTACCAATGATCCGATAGGCATATATGGCAAGCTATTCTTAATATACTCATACAGTTTTTCACTTTAAAACTTTTCTAGAATAGATAATAATCAAATTGTTCTTAGCTAATGTTGACGAGATTTTTTAAGGCTAATAAAACAGATTTAAACATAGCTTCGATTAGTTTAACCGCTAAAAATGACTTCTGACTAAGGAAAGCATCCAAAATCACGCATTAAAGTCTAGAGTGTAATTTACTGCAAGATTTGCTTATTGCACCATAATGGTAGATTATCAGTAGCAGTAAATCCCGAAGCTGGGCAATATGTTGGGCGACTATATAGCTCGAAGAAGGATAAATGCAATTGCTGACTATTGATAATAATTTAGATAACAATGACCCTTTTTCGTTAATAATTACCCTGTCAGTCCTCCAAACTTATAACTCAATTTGTGTGACCCATTTGACTTGGATGAACATAGAGCCAGAAACCGATGCTTATCACGAGTTGTTATTAATAAAATGTAAACCAGCATTTGAATAAATAAACATACTTTAGTTGAATTCCTACCAAATAATCCAGCACAGATATTATCCATTGTAAAAACTGATTTGCGATAGATGCACTAACACCAGATCCCTTTAATCATCAGGAAAGGTTTATCAAGAAAGTTGAGGCTATGTTAGGGCTGCTTTAATGATGTATCCGATAGAATTTCTGATCAAACCAGACTTTGACGTAGCGGGAAGCCTCTCTTGATCAGGATAATTAAGGTGTTGCAATTCCTAACAGCTTCATTTCATTTAGATCATTATAAGCCACCATAGGAGATATAACCTTCAGAAATTAGTATACGCTTATTTATTTATTGATGTAACAATACAGTTAAACAAAATTAAAGTTGCGTGAAGGATTACCGCACTTGCCTACTAAGTGTTGATGATTATTTACATCTGTACAAATATAAGAATTACATTTCGACGCAAATTGTCTAACAATAGCCTGTTTTACTAAACGAATGAATTTCAATGCGACACCATGATGCGATAATTTACACAACATTCTATTCTATTCTATTAGGATGCTTTATTCTCTTATCGACATAATTTGATGTCCCAAATAAAAGTGTACAATCGCAATATAATTTCATTCGATATAACCTACAAAAATGGAATGTAAAAATGTACAGTACTTTATCATCCAACTAAATTTTCTTAATTGCTCTCTTACACGCAGATATATCATTACATCATCAGCTTTGATTTTAAATTATAGTAAAATTTTCTTTCTGAAGGTTTTAAGCGTGCAATTAAAATTATTTTTTAAGTTAATCTATAAGAGTTAATATCTGCCTTTAAATATAAAAAGACATTGTACTCTGATACAAATTATCAGGGTTAAAGGTAATATTAAACCAGATACTATCTTTGATTACATAGCATCTGTATATTATTTCATTGACGAGCTAGTTATGATTGTAAGGCCTCGTATGGATTCCTAAACAAATAATGGAGAGATGATACTATTAACTTACAAGGTAGATTTATTCATTTTTATGAGAACAGCTCATTTTTAACAATATTAAAGATGCTGTCTAGATAAAGTTCACGGAATTGCATCATTTTGGCTACATTAAGTAAGCATCCTGCCAATTGGAATGCATTTTAGAAGTCATTAGATTTTATAAAATATTTTCAAATATTAGTAATCTTATCTTGATAAAGTTGATAGGATTACGTCATTTTGGTTACATTAAGTGGCATTCTGTCCAATTAGAAAGCATTTTAGCTGCAGTTAAATTATAAAATATTATCCTAAAAGCCTAATTATCTTGCATTCCGTTTGCTTATAATAAACCTGTTTACTAAACCAGTTGCAGGCATGAAAACTGGTTTCAGGGCTAACTTATCAAGCGTGAGCGAAATTTTATAATGATACTATAGGAAATCAGAAAAAATGCTGACGTGTATGGGCGATATCAAGTGCACTTAATATGAATTTGCAAAGTAAGTTTAATCAAGGCAAATTCTAAATATACAGAATCATTGTTACTAGTATGAAAGAAATATTCAAGCTAAATTAAACATTACTAAAAATTAAATTATACAGACTCGTACAGACTCATCTATATACAGAGAAAGACCGTGAGAATGATACTTACTACCCAGCAGGCCCTCTTAAATAACATAAATAACAACCGGTTTAATAGCAATGTATTCTATAGAAGCAGAAACTATTTAAGCTCGCCACGCTTACTGATAGATCAAATCGAATAAACGTCGTCAGCAACAAGTACTCCACATTTTCTACCGTGATCGTGAATTTCAATCACGGTTCTAATTACGAAGGTTAAAGCCTAACATCAGCTCAACTCAAGGTAGATTTTTCGAAATTTAATTAAAGATATCTTAAAAAAATTTTATAATTCTAATCATAACAGATACCTCCATTCAATCCGAATCTAACATTAGCGTGGATTTATTCTTAAAAACTAGATTACCCTTTCCGGAAAGATTTGTTAATGCATTCTACGTTATAATTTTGTACATGAATTTAGAACTATTATTTTCCAAGAAATCACTACAAAAAATTAGCTAACCAATATACCATCAACATGACCAAACAAGTTAAAGTCGACATAGATCTCGAATGTCCTAAAGGTGCGAATCAATCATGAACACATTACAAACTATACACTAAATTATTACATGTACATAAAATAGAATTATTTTTTATCCTTTCGAATAGCATAGCATAATTAGAATAATCCTAATAATATCATGAATGTATATAGAACTGGCTAACGGATATAGAACATGTAATAATATTTTAAGATATCAGGAGCTAATACTATAAATCAATGTTTAAAGTAATACGTATCAAATACTATCAATGTGCCTACTGCTGCATACGTGTATTATCACTCAGTTAGGACTAACTACTAGTCGTAATTGAGTTAATATCAATTTTTTATAATACCGTAAGATTAACCTCAATTTACATATGTGAAAGTAAAGTACTGACAAAGTCGACAAAAATTTACTAGACTGACATAGATTTACAAATGAAACATGTTACCCATCAACTCTACGATAGCACAAGCTATTATAAATAAATAGCGCAGTATGCATTCATTATCAAAATTATAGGAAGGAGATTCTGTTTATTTTAAATGTATGAATCTCATCCATGTGCTGCATAAGCTTAAATTGAATGTACCCATATTGCTCTTAACTTTGTAATTTATTTAAGGATTTATTTCTTCATGTAGTTAACAACTATGAGTAGCTTTAACTTGAATTGGATAGATACTTTGCATGGATGTGCATTGCTATTTTTTTTAATTTACTTATAGCGAAAATATTTCATAAGACTACTAACAACTACAATTGCTTCGACTTTTTTGAAATTTACCTTTGAATTACGAGTTTAAATATGATAGTTCATCATGTTAATTTACGAATTTCTTAATTTAATTATACATCTGAAAGAAAATAAATTCCTTTTGACATCTATGTAGTTTAGCAGGATATTTTGATGATATCTACCTTGCTAGATCACTTTACTTATTAAATATATTAACTGAGGCCTACCATACGATTTATTATTTCCCTTCTAATACCCAATTTTAATTTTAGCCATTAAATTTCTACCAGACTAAGCATAAATGATAATCAGACACGCACTTTACTTAGCTGCAGACAGTATCTACGAAGTATTCCATGTCTTAAATACTAGCATCAAATCTCCATGTATATTTATATTAGCTGTCGTATTCAGTTTTAAGTTATAGATTAATTAGGAAAATTTTGGTACGAATTAATATTAGTGGACCCTTTCGATACTGTAGAATATTGTATTAATAATATTCATTTGTCATGACTGTGAATTACTCTGCAGTTAAAGAGTTCCATCATTCCAAATTAAGATATCCTATCAGATATGATTGGTTTCAATATCTTTCTAGCTAAACTCGATAATTTACTATCTTGAATTGATGATAATAGAAGCAGAACAAAGTGAGCAACCTGATAAGAGTAGTAGCAGTTCTGCGAAAACATGGGTAGGCCTCCTGATAGTCTTGTTATTGGCAATAACAAGTACAGTTGAAATACAGTTTGCGAATTCTATGGCATCATTAAATTTTACAGCTTTTACATTTGCGACCTGGTGAGTAAATTTATTCTTATGTTCTAAATATGACGACAATTAATTGAATATTTCATATAAATAATAGGTATGGACGAAATTTCTCGATATTAATATATCCTTGCTACTGCCTATTTGGTCTTATGACTGGCAAATCGCTAAAATCCATGTGGAGGTTCGTCTTATTTTTCACCACATAGAAATAAATATTAGTCTTTACTACTTTTTATTATAGTTTAACATTAATTGATTCAAGGATTTTAGTCACTATATCAGTTTAAAAGAAATAGGTCATTAGCTTATAAAGATCATAAATTGGATATATCAACAATGATTATTAAAATCAGTGAGACGAAATATTTTTCGCGTGCGATACAAGTAATGAATAAAAATCTACTAATAGAAAGGAGTGTCTACAAAGTATTATTCTTTAATTAAGCTAGAATCGACACTTATTCTCTATCTATTCGAATTCTAGTATCTTGATATTAACTAATGCTAAAATTCTTAAACAGCTTACTGCATATTATATTATTATTTGTTATCGCTGTTAATATCAAAATGGTAGCTTTAAATTTGATCAGCTGTAATGAAATCATCGGTTTGGCAAAAACAAACTTAAAATAATTTTCCATTCGCAGTGAGGATTGTGTCGTATTGAAGCAAGACGGAAATTATAAACAAGGCTTTTTCAAAAAAGTCCTCCCAGTAACCGTAATTTATAATTCCGCATATTACTTTTATTATTATGCCTTGGATATAAGCCCTCCTAGCGATTGTTCAGCTGTAATGGCTGTCAACATTGCACTGATATATATTCTATCGATATATTGGTTAAAAGAACCATTACTAGCTTTAAGGGTAATTTGAAACATTTCGTTTTACTACAGAAATAAAATTACATAATTAAATTTGTATTATTTGGTATATTTCTACAATAATACATTGCCATTGAAAACCTCAGGTAAATATAATATTTAAATCACATTTCCATAGGTCATTGCAGTGGTTGCAGCCATGACTGGCGTTTTCGTCTTCGCTTATTCTTACGGATTACATGGATCAAGCATTTTGGGAATCATTTTTTCGTTATCTGTTGCAGTTTTGACAGCTATCTACAGGGTATAATGTTTAATTTTATCTTGTTTATTATTGATTAAATATGTTACTTAGCCAGTACTTATCGACATATGACGTAATATGTATTTTCAACGGCTAATTCTGTAAGTACTTACGTTATAACTTTTATTATGACTTTAGGTATATCTAAAGCTTGTGCTTCCTGACCCATCAGTTGGTCAAGCTTCCCTTTTACTCACCGTAGTTTGCGCTCTTATTGTACTCTTCTCATGGCCACTAATTTTAGTAGCGATTTCACTTGGGATTGAGACCATCGAATGGGAAACTATCCCTTGGTATGAGCTCAATGTGACTTCTATATTTTCTCTCCTCGTCAGTGCTTTAATTTTTCTTGGTACTGCCGTGAGTTTTCCAATATTCGTAGCAGTTGGTATGCTACTTAGTATTCCTGGCAATGCTTTCGTGGATGTAATATATCGTCATATTATATTTGATGGCATTAAGATCTTTGGCGTATTCCTTATTTGTTCAAGCTTCCTCATATTACTAATTCCAGTTGATAAAGCGCGTCGTCTATCACGATGGATGGTTCCTTGCTGCTATAGAAAAGTTACCCTGTAATTCTGCACAATATTGGTCATAAATACTGCAATAATACTTTAGCTACCTTTTATGAGTCAGCTATAGATACTTGATATTATTCTTTAAAATCTTTATTAAGTTAAATTAAAATAATTTGCTACTGCATTTCTATTTAATTCGACCTTAAAATCATACAAGACAAAAATAATCGTATTTTTTAATTTTTTAATTTGATTTTCGAAATTAATGTATATATATACAGTACTTACGTAATACAGCGAATTTTAAATGTATAAAATCTCGATAAAGAAGGTTAAATAGCAAAGCTGCGCATGTGCGTTCATATTCGGATTAAATGTATTTAAAAATTATTTTGATAATTGTATTTTCTAATTGAAATTGAGCGACATTTATTTTATCCTTCGTGCTGTAAGAGCCGTTACTTAGCAATAATTTCAGAATTTACTTTGCCTTTCAAGTATCATGAGAGTGAAGTTGCGATCTGTTATATTCTAAATATGCAGTACCTGATATACGTTTGTTTTTGCAATAAATAGTTATCGACTAACGCATACATTATTTTCATAGAATTAGTCTAAACCTGTAATACTATTTAAAGATAAATTTTTAATTAACCTTCTCCAATTATAACTGTTTAAGTATATTCATTGCGCTATTTTGAGCACATATTCAAAACAATAAAATTTGTAAATCCCAGAATTGTGTACGTCATTGTTCATTAAGTATCAATCTTGTGAATGATCATAACATTTTAATGTCTCCACGTGGGTTAAGTTATTAGTCAACTTAAATATTTTAATTTTGCACCATCATAATTCGAAGTACTTGTTCATTCAGTGTTGGTGGTTTCTAGAGTACCGTATTTCATGAAATTTTGGTAATTTGATTGTTTATAGTAGTTTCTTAACCTGTTCTTAGATACCTAGTCAGATCAAAAATCATCAACTACTGCAATTGTAATTAATGTAGAACAATTAATTAACCCAATCTTCGATATTTAATTATGCAAAGGCGCCGCTGCTAAAAGTCTTTAATATGCAAAAATAGAAAATTTAAATGTTAAATTTTATTTAAATTACAAGTTCTCGCGGGCATTCAAAATGAATATTCACAAAGTGCCATTGATACATAAACATATGAACGATTATTCAGTATAAACAGATCGGCAATCCACAATTCGATCGTTTATTATCTGAGTTATATCACAAGAAGTATATTTTTACCACTTAAGCAATTGGGAATAACTGCAAAGTTCAAGATTTTTTCTGATATCTAGCCTATATGATCTTAGCTTTACTGATCTATCAGATAATCAGTTAATTAACACTTAATTTTAATCTACTGATTATTATAGAACTTTAGTCCATTAAATATACCCAGTAAGTACAGTCTTAAGGCTACCTTATAATTTTTTTTATACGATGCGATCTAGCTGTAATTATAAGTATAATCAAGAGATATTTGTTAAATTGTTATGAATATTTCAACTCTAAAATAAATTTTAATACTATAGTCAACTTTTGGTACAAAGAGAATTGTTATTGAGGAGAATTTTTTTCTACCTTGAAGATATTGTATACACATTTTCGCATGACATTGATTGTTACTAAAGCTATTTATCAAATTTCCAAATGCTATTATCTGTTTGGAAATTATTTTTATATTTCTATTGAAAAGATTGCAATACTATCGCAGCTGAATTCGAAGACAGTGGTTTCAATCGTAATAATCTCATTCCTAATATAAATTGTGCTTCGCCATGCTAATAAAATTTATCCAATGCAATTTTAAAATTTAATTTATGCATCAGCGTATTTCTTCGTTTAGTATCATTTAATAACTGTTCATTCAGTAGAAGAGCAATAGATAACTTTAGGCTTTCGAAACGTCTTATTGCAATGTTAATGTAATACTCCAAACCAAGATGATAGTATTAGTGAAAGTAGAGTATCCGGCTCAATCATGTAAATAATTCCGTTCTAAATTTTGCTACTAGTATAAGGTAATATTTATTTCTATAAATCCGCGATGTTTACTAGTATTTTGCTTCCTGGTAATAGGCCATAAAATCCTTCATTTTTTTAAAATAAGCATTGATCTTCAACGTGAACTTCAGTCGTGTAGAACTCCAATATTAATAGCTATAGCTACTGTAAGTAGGCTCATGTACAGAAAATATCAAAGACACTTTGGCAACAAAAAATAGAACCGAGATATTCACAGTTTATTTTGTAGCTTAATATAGATCCTATCGCACAGTGGTAGAGTCCAAGAACAAAATATATAAACTGAACCGACAAATTTTCAATCGCATCCATTTTGTCTGAAAATACTTCAATATATTGTTTTTCTATTTATGTTTGGAAGGTAATATACTACTTTCATTACATCTTAGTAAAGTGCTTCACTTTTTATTATATTTAAAGCATAATTGATGTAAGCTGATTGCTATCTGACCAATATTCTGTAGCTGATTCAAGCTAGAGATCTCGATCCATGTTGATTCCAATTCGGTAAGAATTTGTAGCAGGATTACGTATCCTGCAGCTTTAGTCAACTCGAAACATAACAACTTAATAGTGCTGTCCTGTTATTTATCATTCTCTACTGTCCAAATTTAGCTGCATTTTCTAGCTATATTACAATAAAAATATCTTCCATATCATTAAAGTATTCAAACATCACAATAAAAATGTATTGTAGAGCACTATCTTAGCTTATAATTCGGACCTTTAACCTGTTATAGCCTTAGCTAGATATTAATCGCTACGAATGTTAGCAGTGTTGCCTAAATTATTATTTAATTGCTGTTTTCATTTAGTTTAAATAATTCTGGTAGCTAAAAATAACCAAGTTCTATTTCAGCATATTCTTGCAGTTGTAAGAATATAGCTATCCATCTAGCTTACTGAATATATTTAGAATAATACGGGTATATCACTTCGTAAGTATTTTATAATATCTCTGGTTTTTGAATAAATTGATACTATACTTATTACATTGCTTCAGTTGTAACATATTAATGTAGTTCTTTTTAAATCTTACTGTGAGGCATTTTGCTTTAAGCAAGGTAGCTGTTATTACTTGGAATCCGACTTAGACGGAAACCTATTTTGTAATCGCCATAAAGTATCAACAAGTTTTGGCTTAGATATTATATTTAATTGGCTACTCGGTTGCAAAAAATTATGTAAATATATAAAAATTGCAGTTTATAGCACATTAAGTGATTTAAAGTTGGCTTCAAGGTTTACATATTAGAAAATATGATTTAAAAGAGGGTCCGACTTTAAAGCTATTATGATACGCGATGTTTTAGTAACTACAATCACAGTAGTAGGGAAACCATTGCGGCCACTAATGTTTTGTCTAAACCTTTCATTGCGATTAAATCAACTATGATCGTCGGCAAATTGATTACGATTAATTTTCAGCATTGTAGACCATTCTTACTTCAGCATAAAGAGTACAATTAACAGTGAATTTTTCTGTAGAGCAATTACTGTAAAAATATACAACATGAAGCAACGCCCTTGAGCTCTTCTATCGGAATTATTAATAAACAAAGAGTCTGAAAATAGAAAATTAGCCTATTAACTTCAAGTTATCCAGTTTCAGGCGCATGCTTACAATATTAATTTAATTATCAACATGCATAAAAAAATGAGACAATGAAGAAAAAGTTTTCTATCCTAAACATTATTCTTATATACAAATTAAACTGACAAGATCAGTTTTCCTTAGTGCAACAATTCATTTAAAGAGATATTACTAATTCACAAGCTCTATCGTACCTTGATTTCCTTGGCCTCAAGAAAAAGCTTTTGAATACTAGTATTAATAGAAGAAGCTGGAGTAGACGCCTAATTATCAATCTAGTGAAAAATAAATAATACCACTGTCTTATCTCTCACTCAAACATTGTTTAAATTGCCTTGACATTACTTAAGGTTCTGGACTAATTCGACGCTTATTTAGCATCAGCAACAAACATCCATTTACCGCCATCAGGTACTGATTTTCAATCTATCACATTGTCAGTAAATTAGTATAAAATAAGACTAATCATTCATTTTACTTTACAAGTACGAAATAGTTTGATGATGATTTTAAATTCATACTTTAACGAATGTAAAATATAAACTTTTGTATAGCTTCTGGTATGCACACTAGGAATTAAAAATTTTAATTCTGTTTGCGTTAAGTCAGTTTTTGACTAGAAAACTTCATCCACTGTTACATTAATTCTTTGTATTCAATTTATTATAATTATGATTTAGCGAAAATATAGTAGCTGATAGCAAAATATGAAGGCTTCGTGCCATAATTTTAAATGCCGTAACCATCAACCCATTAACACGTCCCGAATATTCTTTTATGAGTAAATATTGGAAAGGTTTATACGATGAAATCTCTATGGTATTGTAGCCGTGTGATATTGCTATCGATTTAACGAAGGGGAGCGCAATCGAGAGAATGCATTACTTTATTGATACACGATACCAGTAGCAATAGTATCTAAGGATTCAAAGATATGGGGTACTGCTAAACAGTAAATTTACATTATTAATGCATTCTTAAATGATCCGTTTATATCTTCGTTTAAAATTTGCACCCTTGGGAGTATTCAACAAACTAGTAACATTGAGCACCGTAATTCTTCCCTCCCAGCCGTAGTTTTGTCTATCACTTAATCAATGGAAGTAAAATTAATACTATTAATCTATGAGTCTTGATGAGCAATTGATAATAGTATGTATGTTTAAAGTAGCTCCAGTGCAATCAAGTATGTCTCAGAACCAGTTATTCAATCATTTCCCAGCGTTATAATGCCACCTCTAGTTTTAAGATAAGCATTAACATTGTATTGTAAAGTTGAATGTAATATCTTATACGTGACCTTAGTCAATTCTTAATAAGATTTATGAATTTCTTAGGTTTTGACTTTTTTTTCTGTATAGCAAGGGGCATTTAATTATACACAAACCCTGATCGTGATAGTCATTAGGATGTGTATTAATAACAACATCTCTAACTTCAGTACATACAGGAGCTCAGAATCGGGTTCAATTCGTATTAATAAATCATCAAAAAATTGCAATTTCATTTTTATTTATCAATAACTTTAGTATCCTATAAGTAAATATGAGAGAAAACGAAAATCAAACTCAAATATCGGAAAAAGGTTTGTGACGGTATATCAGGAATTGAATTTTAACTTTAAAGTAAAAAAGCAGGGTTTCTTTAGAATAAATAATACACCATGACATGTTTCATATTAATGGCACGAATTTTTCAAAATTCGCGCAGCTTGTGGTCTTACTAACAACTTCAGAAAGTAATAACGATATAACAGGAGAAATTAAATTTCGAAACTCAGCAGAACAGCTTCAAAGTGCTATAGTTATTCATATCAACTCGACTGTCGATCAAGATCATGTATTTACATATCATTCGGTTACAATCTTTTACATCACACGAATATAGGAACTTTTAAAATTGTTCAATATGATTTTTCTCTAGTGAGAAAGTTACTTAATTCAGTACATACATAAGCAAAATCAGAATGAAGCAAGAACTACAGTTTCTTGTAAACTTTAATTTAATGCATATGTTCGGTTCGCATAACAACTATCACGGACTATCAAGCAATAATTATAATCATATTATTCATGCAATCTTAAAATCTCACATACAATTCATCTATTTTCGTACAATCTAGCAATCTTAGTCTTGGATATACTGTATTTGGGGCTTTACTACAACTGGCAACTAGCAACTTGTTTAAAGGTCTTGCGGTTGCAAAACTCTTTACGCAACTGAGATCATTTTTATCTGTTTATTAATTATCTAGAAGATGAAGCTTGCAAACAACATTGCAATACGTACTCGATCAAATCATCAATGGGTTTGGTCGCAGTACTACTACTGGCAGTTGCTGTAGTACTAGAAGGTCAATTTGGCCGCGATCTTACATCGGGAAATTTTACTGCTATAGCATTTGCTACGTGGTAAGTTCAAAACGTAAACATATTTATTTCTATTCTATCTGAAATTCTCCATTTTGTTGCCATATATTTACGTGTACTAGGTATGCTAGATCATGGACAGTCATCTGTTATCCACTCTACTGTCCAATTGGCATGATATTTGGAAAATCCTTAAAAGAAATGTGGAAGTGAGTATATTGACAGTATTAATTAGTACTCAAGATCTAGAGATTCAATAATGTTCTCGAATTGAAGAGTATTCATAAAGCAAACTGGAATGATACGAACCGTAGTATGCAACATAATTGATTTTAGCGCTTTTTTTATTAACCTATGGTTTAAATAGGGAAGATTCGTCCATTTTACAATATCATGGCAAATTCACGAAAGGATTCATTATCAGAATTATACCAATAACCATTTTTTTAGCTGCATCTTATACTTGCTTCTTTTACGCTGTAAAAATGGTATCACCAACTGATTACATAACCATTCTAAGTGTGAACATTGCCTTGATATATATTCTGTCTGTGACTTGGCTACGAGAACCTGTGATACTTCTGCGGGTAAGATCTTTACTTTCTATATGAATCATCACTTAAAGCGTATCATACTCAAGATTTCTCAAATTTCTTCATTTTGATACTGCTAGCTAATACTTGAACTTTATTTATACTTTCAACAGGTAATTGCTGTCGTTCTAGCTATTGCAGGCGTGCTGTTCTACGCCATTTCATATAGACAAAGTGGCTCTGGTACAGTTGGAGTTATCATGTCTTTAATATCAGCATTGCTTTCAGCTTTATATAGGGTAAAATTTAAAATCATCTACACGTTATAAAATTCTCTGCAGCTTTTCTAAAATCCCTTATAAATCTAATTACCTCTAATACTAACATTTTGCGAAGTGCTGAGCTTGGCGTCCATTAATTTAATTTTGTTTTAAGTAAATTTAATTTAGTTATTAATACTTTACGTAGATAACTGCTAAATAACAAAGAACTACATTAAAAAGAAAATGGTAAAATTGCTTTGAAAGCAAAACTAACACAAACATCTTCTGGGGTGTTTATTCTATCGATTTGCATAGGTATATTTGAAAAGAGTACTGCCTGATTCCTGCTTTGGTAAGACATTACTAGCACTCAGTGCCGTTAGTATGACTGTCTTACTGTCGGGGTGGATATTTGTACTGCTTTTCTCAGCTACTGGATTTGAAGCTTTAAACTGGGATGTTATGCCATGGGATTCCCTCAACTTAACCGCAGCATTTGGAGTGGCAATTCATGCTCTAACATTTTTAGGAACAGCAGTTAGCTATCCTGTTTTCGTTGCTATCGGTTTATTGCTTGGAATACCTGGCAATGCAATTGTGGATATTGCAATGCATCATGTTATATTTGATTATTTAAAAATCCTTGGAGCAATTCTTATTAGCTGTAGCTTCCTAATCTTATTGATTCCGGAAGATAAAGCAATCACTATCTCAAAGCGAATCCTTTCCGCCTGCTTAAGACTGATGATTAAATGTAATCAAAACAACCTTTCGACAGACCCAACGACACCTACGAATAATGGTATAACTTCAGCCTCTTCTAGCTATTTCTTCATCGATTCTAAGTATAACTCCGGTTTGGCCGAAACTCAGATATAAGATAATGGCTGTTATTTGTTTGCTAAAGCAATTTATTCGATGGAAACAATTTGATAATGAATAATCATGGCATGGCAGGTTTCGTGCAAGCGAAAAATATACTCTGAATCATACAAATATTATCTTGTTATTTTGCTCTACTGCAGAGTATTTCATTCCTATAACATTAGCAGGCATAAAAGGCAAATGATGCCGATGTTACATGCTATTAATGCGATCTTGCCTTATTACATGTGTAGATCGGTCAATATCTAGATCTTATGATTGCTTAAGGTATTCCGACTAAAGTTCTTAATTATTACTTGCGATTTAGTTCCCTTATTAATTATTACTAGCGAAATGCGTAGAAATTGTACGGAATATAGTACTATTTTAAGTTAGTAATTATAATAGTGTATAACAGCAGGGCACACGTACAATCACATTAATATGATTTGATTTTCTGAATCAAAATCCTGTTGCAGATATTCTGCACTTTGACACGGCGATACTAAACTGTGAATGACAAATTTTAATTTTGACTGATTTGCTATCTATAAACGTTTAGATCCAATACCAGTTCAAAACCCTAATAAGTTGTGCATCCGATTAATCGATCATCGTAATTACTTCCTCTTAGTCTATCTGATAGCATAATCTCCATCAATACAATCTCCTGCTCATAAGTGGTAGTGAAGAGCATAACCTTAGCTGTATATTAAACTAAACATTGTAAAACTATTGTTTCATCGGCCTGTTTTCATTTCACTGCGGCTTTGATATTGTTGATATTAAGAAATAATATACAAACACTAAGAAGTCAATGGATTGGTCAATAAAAGTATGACAGTTTTCGGTGGCACTGCTTGGCTACTTGCAATAAACTAGCCGATTTTAACCATCTGGCTGTTGCTAGTCCCTAATAAACTATTTCATACAAGACTATTGTGGTTTTCACTGCGCTAACTATACCTTCACTTTCAATTCATCATCGTATTTTAGTGAGCTAAAGCAGTATCATGATGAAGATGCCCTCGAGGCAATTACGATTAGTTTATTATTGTGTCTGATTTCATGATTGTACAGTAGTAAGAATGACATTATATAATTTAGTATGATGGTGATAGAAATCATCGAGGGATTTCTTTTGCCTTGTATCGTTACGACGAACGATATTAACTAGGGCTAATCATATTGAATTACGAACAAAAGATCATGAACACAATCCTGTTTTTCACTTTCACAACACCAGTTTATCTTGGACCCGGTAGAAAATCAAGTCTGTCAAATCTATTTCAATATTAATTAATACCATCGTCGCCATAATTCAATCAGCAAAGCTAAATAATTTTGATAGTAAATAATAGACAATTTGACCTCTTGCCTCTAAATAAGTAAATCGACATTGACCCTGGCCATAAAAAAATAAACTGGTCTTCTCATTCCAGTTTAGCCAGTTTTCGAGCGCATGCTTAAACCCTAAATTTCATTCTCGCTTCAAGAATAGGAGACAATGGAAAAGTGAGTCCCTATTTTCAAGTTAATTGATAGAGTGTTTATTGTACTATATATATATATATATATATTGTACGCATATATATGAGTATATATATATTATATATGTCAAACTGTATATACGAGTATGCATGAACTATCGGGCTAGAACGATTCCATTCTTGGTCTAGAACGAATTCCATTCCTGGGCTATATCCAGTCGTAAGTTTTTTTATTAGCGCCTATTTGGATCAGTTTAGCGAAAAGGTGATATTTTGAATTGTAATATCGAAGTGCGGTGATGAAGGAGGCTTGAAATAAGTATTGTCTTTTCGTTTACTTATATTGCGCCAAGGTATCTTATCTGAAAGGTTTCCTTGACTTTATCCATCTGGTCGGAACAACACTGGCAATAATTGATCAATATCAGGTATAAATTTTCCATCAATCGCGTGATAAACAAATTAGTTTTAAGTAAAAATGATTCTTAATTTCATTTCAAAGATTCTGGTAACATTGGTAAAAAATTCGACAGGCTCTTATCAAGTGTAAGGATACACCATTTGCGTATCTACTGCAGTACCAGACCAACGGCAAAAACTGGAAAAAATATTAATATCATTACTGTACTGCATGCTTGAATTTAGTAAAATAGCTCTGCTCGCCTGGATATATTCATATCATGACTGTAGTATATACTTGAGGGTAAGGTAGTAAATTAGCAGTGCTCGACTGGATAATGTTGGTCCCGAAGTCAATTTCCATCCTTTAACATGCCCTTGATTGTCCTTACGTATATCTTACTTTGGGGAATTGTGCAAGGCTACAGTAGACAATAACAAAGTGAAAAAAGTCTTTCCATATTGTAGGGACCCCACAGCTAACCCTTGGCTTGAAAGTCGAAAACGCTAGCAATCGATTGGATGACTAATGTTTACATGGGTTGGGTTCCGAAAATTAAAGTACCTACTGGCAATTTAATGAACTGCTTTGATAGGCAGATTTTAACAAATAGTACAATATAGAGAAATTTCTCCACTTTAATCATAGTAATGTACCGTATTAAGCTCGAGAATATATTGACAGAGTCCACCAATTGTTAATGGAATTAAGACTAACAAAATTTCAATCCGTTCATCTTAATACTCTGATGCTGCGGTGCATGCTAGAAATATCGAGAAACGAATAGCAGTGATGATGTTCTTGCGTCTAGAACTGCTATTCGTAAACCGATGTACCCATATTTTGAGTATTAATATATCGGTTAGACAAATAGAGTCATTGGCCATAAAACACAATGATTGTAGCGTTCTCGATTCGTTCGTTATTTCCCTGGATGGCCGATATTTTATAAAGCAACCGTAACAACGGTTGTAAAGTAGTGTCGAAAAATTAAGAATTAATGGGTCCAAGAGTATGATTAGTGAGACTATGATTGCGTCAAAATTAGTTTGACCACTCTTGAAAACTATAGCCCGATTGCTGATATCCATGACATCTTCTATAAAGGCCGCGATAAAATAATGACTATAAGCAAAATCTGCGTTACGATATCTAACAGGGACCATGCAAACTTCAATTGCTGCATCTTTACACCTGAGATAGTTATGATCCAAATCCTGTTACGAAAATCATCCAAAATTACTGTTTCATTCTTATTTTATCAATAACTATAGTAATCAATAAAATAGACATGAGAGACCATGAAAATCAAACTGAGATATCCAACATAGGTTTGTGACCAAATACATTAAAGTGCTAATTTCTTAAGATTAATTTCATGCAGATCAACTTCTACATTAACAAATGCTTAACTGATTCTTTCAATCCAATGCACAACGCTCTTCATAATTGGCATGCCTATTATCATAATGATAACTAGTATTATAACCATTAATATCAGAATGCCAAGTTTAGTTTGAACAGTAGAAAATAATTCACAATTCTATGCATCACAAGTCAGTTCAACGGTAGTATTTAAATTACAAATTATCTATTTAATTTCGTTCAGAGACCCAATAGGATGACCTCCAAATTGATTTTGCACAGGTTTTAACATTTCAGTAAGAAGATTACTGAACGCTGTACCTGTGCAACATCTATAGTCGCAGTTTTCAAATTTAAGCAATATAGTTTATACGATACTCTCACTAAATCTAATCACTTTTTCATTTCTATTCTTCAAAACATAAAGTGAGCTTTCACATTCTAACAATTTCATTATATAGCTGTGTGCAATTAATTTTATTTTGGATAACAGATAGTTCAATTACCTCTTACTGTTTATTATGTCCAAACGCACTAAAAACGTTATCACCTTGTAATCGAATTTCATTAGAAGATGAAACTTGTAGACAACGTTGCAGTCTCTACCGTATCAAATCCTCGACTGGTTTAATCGTCGTGCTAGCGCTAGCAGTCGTAGCTGTACTAGAAGCTCAATTTGGCCGTAGTCTAACATCAGGAAATTTTACTGCTATCACATTCGCAACCTGGTAAATTTAGAGAATAATTCTGTTTGATTTCTACTGTAGTTCACCGATACTATCTACATTATCGCCGTGCTTGTAAAATAGGTACGCAAGATCATGGACTATTATATGTTATCCAATTTACTGTTCGGTTGCTATGATTTTCGGAAAATCATTGAAAGAAATGTGGAAGTGAGTTAAAATGCCATATTTGGCTTATTAGAATATTTTCTGTTTCATAAACACTCTTGCCGAACTCGTTCAGTATTTCTAACCTTAGCTCCATTTGTTGAATTATATTTGATAAAGGGAAGATTCCGTCATTCTACAGTATCATGGCAGATTCCTAAAAGGATTTATAATCAAGATTGTTCCAGTGGCAATTTTCTTAACTACGACATACTGCTTTTTCTTCTATGCTATCAAATCAGTGTCTCTAACAGATTATGTAACTATTCTTAGCGTGAATGTTGCGCTGATATATATTCTATCAGTATATTGGCTGCGAGAACCTTGGATACTAATACGGGTGAAATTTTACTACATTCATTAAAATACGAGCATTATCCATAATTTCTTTTTTTTATCCCTCGAAATAGTTATTAAAACGATATCTCAATTTTGTCATTTTTAACTAACCAATATACGTATGTCGATATTTCGATTTTGCTATCTTAGACAATCGCTGTTTTTCTAGCAGTCGCTGGTATACTATTCTATGCAGTCTCCTATAAACAGAATGGCTCTAATACTATAGGAATTATCATGTCGCTCATGTCGGCAATATTATCAGCCTTCTATAGGGTAATATTTTTAGGATAACCCTTTCGGTCATTGATTCATATCTTTCTCTCAGATCATGTCCCAATAGCGATAGTACTGATAATAGGAAATAAGCTCTAAATATATATATACCTATTTATTCCAGCGATTTACTGGTCTCAGCGTGATAGCCAAAGCAAATTGTTGTGCATACGAGTGTAATATAATTTATTTTTAGAGCAAAATGATCGTATACGATACTTGATATATTAAATACTATATCAGAACAATTAGCAGTAGTATGTGGACATTAAAGCTGTTTGTAAAACTAGAACTAGTGCCCATTGCTGATTCGAATTTCCTTTCAATCTGATTAGGTATATTTGAAAAAAGTACTTCCTGACGCTTGTCTAGGCAAGACTTTACTAGTACTCACCGTTGTTAGTTTGACAATCATGCTATCTGGGTGGATATTTGTATTGATTTTTGCAGCTATTGGATTTGAGGCAATAAACTGGGGCATGATGCCTTGGGATACACTCAATCTGACCGCTGCATTTGGTGCAGCAATACATTCTCTAACATTTTTAGGAACAGCAATTAGTTATCCTGTATATGTAGCAATTGGCCTACTGCTTGGTATACCTGGAAATGCAATAGTGGATATTGCAATTCATCAGATTGTATTTGACTACTTAAAAATTGTTGGATCAGTTCTTATTAGCTTTAGTTTTCTAATTTTATTAATTCCGGAAGATAAAGCAGTTATCATCTCGAAGCGAATTACGACTTTTTGTATGAAATTTACGACGAAATGTGGTCAAAGCGATGCCTTATCAACTTCAAAATCAGAAAGCTGCAATAACACCATTTCTACATCATCCAGTTATTTTTTCATCGACTCTAATTATAATACTGGCTTTTCCGATACTCATATCTAAGTTCATTTAAACGAATTAGCAGTTATCAAGAATCCTATAACGGTAAAAATGTTGGATAAAATAATACGAAAATGATGGTTAAAGAAGCATGGAACGGTTCACACTCAGATGGCTACTTTAATAGTATATGTAAAATATCACTGCCTGTATTCTTGTCTAACTAGCAGTAGAATAATTAGCAGGTTTAAAAATTGATTTTTAAGTAACTACTGTACTTTTATGCTGATTTCCTTCATTGATCTTGGGCATGTTAAATTAGTTAGAGAGCTCTTCAACTTGTAAATAGGACAGTACTATGATTGCAAGCTTAAAAGCTGTTACTACTCCTAACTTGTTGTATGCACATTTGCAGATTGTCAAGTCATATAATAATATCATTTCCCTTTCGAATAGTGTATTTCCATACGCGGAGAATTTTATGGAGAAAAGTATCCTTATTGCTAACGTCTATTACAGTGATTAAGCATAGTACAGTACAGTATAGTACTACATGTTGTTCGATCATAATCGAGAGTACTGGCCATTATACATGTACTGTATATTAATTAATTAATTATAATAATACTGTACCTTGTTTGTGATACTAAAAGACTACAGTCGCTGCTGATTTATCGAGAATTTCTCCTACAATGGGTAACGATATAAATCAATAAAGAAATTCACGCGTAAAATTTTCAAGAAGTCAGTTTTTGAAGCCTGGTGAAGCTATGTAATTGCATGGGAATAAACTGTGATATAGTCCGCAGGCTATTCTCCAGAATCAGCCAAATAGGTTGGCCTGAAATCTTGCACCTAAGTGATACTGGTGTTACGTTCGAACACTCGCTCGGAGTCATTGCACTGTTTACTTTGCAATTTGTTGAGGTTGTTTGTAGTAATGTAAGAAGTAAGGAGCTTTTCCGACCACAATTTGACCAGTGATAATAGATTGCCGTTTTTTTTTCAAGGGTGGGCGATGGGATAACTTTTATTGTACTCAATCCAGTTGAAATGATAGGCAATAGAATCGGTCAGCACATTATTAGTATAGTCGACGACGATCGTTTTAAGTTCTTCTTTCTTTCATTTTACTTGGCGTACTATACAATACTGTATTGTATGCACCCGTACTTGCTCCTTGTTCCTCTACTATACCTTAATCATTTTGAATGTCAAGTTGTGGTAGTAATAAGTTGAAGTAGTGTTGAAAAACAAGCAGCTTAAAGCGGGTAATGCTTGTCGTAACGTACTATATGTAGTGCTTTAGCTGTACTGTTGGTGACAATTTAAAATATTAGTCAGTCGTATTTCGAATCATCTATTTCATTATTTCCATCAAGTGATGCTATTATTCAAGCGGTAGTATTCGTATCACTGCGTTGTAGTTCATATAGCCATCAAGATGCTAGTCAATTAAAAGATAATCTATATTAGCCAGCTGTATTTTCCCATCGTCCGTTTGACTGTATAATATACAGCATGCTATTTATCAATAGATACGATTGTTAATATGGTAATGCTCGTAGTGCTGCACAATACTGTAGTTCTTATGCAGCCATCTTCAAGCTAGCAAATCAAAATTCTGTAGCATCTCAATGCATTATGGTATTAGCCAGCAGTATTTTCCCATCGTCCGTTTGACTGTATAATATACAGCATGTTATTCATCAACAGATACGATTGTTGATTCGGTAGTACTCGCAGTGCTGCACTATACTGTAGTTCTTATGCAACCATCTTCAAGCTAGCAAATCAAAATTCTGTCGCATCTCAACGCATTATGGTATTAGCCAGCAGTATTTTCCCATCGTCCGTTTGACTGTATAATATACAGTACAGCATGTTATTCATCAACAGATACGATTGTTAATATGGTAGTACTCGCAGTGCTGCACTATACTGTAGTTCTTATGCAACCATCTTCAAGCTAGCAAATCAAAATTCTGTAGCATCTCAACGCATTATGGTATTAGCCAGCAGTATTTTCCCATCGTCCGTTTGACTGTATAATATACAGCATGTTATTCATCAACAGATACGATTGTTAATATGGTAGTACTCGCAGTGCTGCACTATACTGTAGTTCTTATGCAACCATCTTCAAGCTAGCAAATCAAAATTCTGTAGCATCTCAACGCATTATGGTATTAGCCAGCAGTATTTTCCCATCGTCCGTTTGACTGTATAATATACAGCATGTTATTCATCAACAGATACGATTGTTGATTCGGTAGTACTCGCAGTGCTGCACTATACTGTAGTTCTTATGCAACCATCTTCAAGCTAGCAAATCAAAATTCTGTAGCATCTCAACGCATTATGGTATTAGCCAGCAGTATTTTCCCATCGTCCGTTTGACTGTATAATATACAGCATGTTATTCATCAACAGATACGATTGTTAATATGGTAGTGCTCGTAGTGCTGCACTAGCCATCTTCAAGCTAGTAAATCAAAATTCTGTAGCATCTCAATGCATTATGGTATTAGCCAATAGGCAGTCGTATTTTCCTATCATTCATTGCATTGTTTATTTACATCAATTGATGGGATAAGAAAACTTGAATTTACAGTGTACAGTACAGTGCTCATTGGACATGCATACTGTACTACAGTACTGTACACTGTACACCATCTCCAAACTTGATTGAAAACAGATTCTGAAATCATTTTAACTTTAGGTAAATTTGTTGTCCGTGTGCTTGTACGATCCAGGAAATAACATCCATTGAACTAATAATGGCTTGTACATGCGTGCAATGTCCTCCAATAACCATCATGTGTTCAATAGCTAAATTGTCAGTGAAGGAAAGGAATAAGGAAAAGTTTTCGAAGTTTTGTTGGATACAATCCATACTGAATACGTACACTGTTCAGTAATACTTACAGTATAAAACACTTGATTGCGTCAATCTTCGAGGAAATTGCGCAATCATCATCGCCGTTTAGTACTCTACGCCTACAGCGTACAGTAAAAACAAGTATAAATAGTTCTGCTCGTAAACTAAAGCAAAAATAATGGCTGGCCTTGACCAGTTACCTTCAAACACTTATCATACAATAAGCCCGGAGAAAACACTGCAAGCGGCTAATTGTTCCAATTAATCCGGTTTTTTTTTAGCGCATGCTTAATTCTAAACTTGAAAATAGGTCAAAGTGCTATGTTGGCGACTTAATTAGTTTACCTGGAGGCCAATAAAGGAGACAGAGAAACGTTGAGTTTACTATCCTTCTTTCGCTTTATCGAGTAGGAAACTGGACCTCTCGAGGTTAAAAGCTGACGTGTTCAAGCGCTATCCTAAATTATAGCTATAAACTGTAGCAAGACCAGCAAGAGTTAATATTATTGACTTGTTTCATCGACAGAGACCTGACTGGAAATAAGTTGTTTGCGTTGCTTGGTCATAACAACAATATCAGTAAATCGGATAATATTGAAATAACAATTTTCCTTTGAAAAATAATGTAGAGATAAATTAATATCAAGCAAAAATCGATCTTGCATTTTATTTTTTAGGCTATCGAAAGCATTCCTACCAAATTGAATACGTTCCCATCCAGTGTAAGGATAAAACTTTCTATGGATTGTGATATACTTATGCTGTACACTAACAGGGATTTTGTCCCCTTCATGGAATGAAAAATACAGTATTAATTATACTGAAATTCAGACCCCAGTTACTGAGAGTACAGCATCGTTAATCCTCTGTCCTACTTCTTCATGATATAGTATTATGTTTCTCTGCCTCTAGAGTATGTAACGATAGTGTAGCTACAGGTGATATCAAAATGATAAATGTTCCTGTTACAAATGGAAATTTGTAACCAGGAAATTGAAAACTACTGCAGAAAATGAATACTATAAACCAACTGTCAGGTTCCTTCTTCCTGACGTCTACCTATAGACGAGGCTACGGTAACACGTAATACGGACGATTTCTTTCCGTGACAAAGTTGATCTTGTTGCCATTATCCTTTCATCGTATCTAGAACTATGCCAATGTTATTAAACCAAACTGTACTGTACTTTTGAATGAAGCCATTATTCTTGATTGTAGCCTCCAATTAATCTCTGAGAAGAGGGAACATTTCAGTAGTGTAACAGCAGCAATTCATTTCTCTCAATGAGAGCTACAAAACATTCAACTAAACGATTGCCACCTTGAATATTGCTAGCATTCCCGTTAGACCAAATAGATAAGAAGAAATACAATTTATGTAGATCGCGATTTAATAAAAATTTCTCAACAATTGGAGCAGTTGATTGTTGCATTTCGCATAGCATTTAATACAAGGTCGAATAGATAGATTATATATATTTAATGCATCATAAGATACTAAGATCAATCATTCCGTTGATAATATAATCCTCAATGATAAATATGAGCATTTGATACCTTAAAGATCTTTACATGCGAACAAGGTTTTGAGAAATAAAATAAGTAAACAAAGCTCTGCCTATATGATTGAATATTATAAAGGCTAACTTCTACCTATATAACATCAAATTTTTGTGACTTAATAAAGTTCGGATGCGGATCAAGGGCTTTGCTACAAATCAAAATCATTCACAGTGACTATTTCATTCTTATTTATCGATAACTATAGTCCTCTATAAAGTAACCATGAGAGAATACGAAAATCAAACTGAGATATCCGAGACAGGTTTGTGGTCATGACTTCAAGAAGTTGATGTCTTTAGATTAAAATTATGCGAATCACGTTTCTATTCAAATAAATAAATGAATAATGATTTATTCACTCTAACCTGCATAGCGCATAGTCCTAAAGATTTGCATGACTTTTAACCGTATGGTCAGCTTATAATTATTGTTGTAATACCTATATAACAAATGCAATTTCAGTTTCGATGCTTAAAGTCAGCAAAGTACAGTTGTTAGAAGTCTTTCTTAATTAGAATAAATTCAATCTTAGTACAGTTACATTAACCTACCACCTTTCTCATAACTATCATAGCTAAAATCAGTTCAGCTGTATTATCAAGTCAATTGATTAGTTATTTCGTCTTTTCGTACAACTTGTAACCTGCGAACGTAATGTTGGTTGAAGATAATTTCTTTGCAAAGTGCAGGAAAACAGCAATGTTAGAGGATAACATTGTTTGTTATCGATTATTATAATATATGCGTTCTAACGAATTACGGTATACAATTTTTAAAATTCTTATGTAATGATTATATTTAATATCATTGCTTGCTGTAAATGCTATACTGTTATAACGATCTAGATCTTACGGTTAACTATAATATCCACATTCACTAAAGAGGTATAATATTTTTTAATAAATTAAATTAGAAAATGAAACTTGTAGGCGACGTTGCAGTCACTATTCTATCAAATCTTCAACTGGTTTATTCGCAGTACTATTATTAGCAGTCTCTGTTGTGCTAGAAGGTCAATTTGTACGCGATCTAACATCAGGAAATTTTACTGCTATTGCATTCGCAACTTGGTAAGTTTAAAAGACAAACACATAAAATTATGGTTTACTGATGCTATCGATTTTGTTATCTCATTCGTATAACAGGTATTCGAGATCATGGACAATCATATGTTATCCGATCTACTGTCCGATTGGCATGTTATTTGGGAAATCATTAAAAGATATGTGGAAGTGAGTATTAAAGTATCATTTATTGCTTTGGATATAGATGTTTTGTAAATATTACTCCCTAAATTCATAATAATTGTTAAATTATATTGGATATAGGGAAGATTCAGTTGTTTTACAGTATCAGGGTCAATACTTAAAAGGGTTCATTTTCAAGATAATTCCAGTAACAATTTTTTTGACTGGCACTTATGGCTTTTTCTTCTACGCTGTCAAAATGGTTTCGCTGACTGACTACGTAACTATTTTAAGTGTAAATATCGCACTGATCTATATTCTATCGGTATCCTGGCTACGAGAACCTGTGATACTAATACGGGTAATACTTCAAACATTTATTTAAAACTATAGTTACTACTCTGCAAATTATTTTACCTATAATTCTCAATTTGATACCGTTAAACTGATCAGCAATACCGCTATTTCTATTTTTATCATCAACAGACTATGGCTATTTTTATAGCAATTGGGGGCGTACTATTTTATGCTGGTTCATATAAGCAGAATGGTTCCAACGAGTTAGGAATTGTCATCACGTTGATATCAGCACTAATGTCGGCCTTGTACAGGGTAATCCTTTAATTAAAAACACTCCTTTTAGGCATCAAGCGTTTTAGTCATGCAATATCAAAGTTGAATACTTTTAGCAAGGAAGCTGATGTCGGTATTAATTCTCTATATCTGTTTATACCGGCTCTTATTTGTGCGAGTAACGTAAATGGTACCGTAGTTCTTGGTAGTACGCAGAAACTGGCATCATATGCAGTATTTAGTCTATTGAAAAAAACCTCGCGAGTCGATCTAACTAAATAAAATGCTTTGCAGTATAAAAGCATTAAATCTATCTCAAACCGAAGCTAATATATCAATTCTACCTGTATTTACTTTTTAAATTTGCATAGGTGTATCTGAAAAAAGTACTCCCTGACGCTAGTATAAGCAAGACATTACTATTACTCACCGCTGTTAGTTTGACAGTTATGCTATCTGGGTGGATATTTGTACTAATTTTTACAGCTACTGAATTTGAATCAATAAACTGGGATTTAATGCCTTGGGATACACTTAACCTGACCTCTGCTTTAAGCGTTGCTATTATTGGTCTGACATTCTTAGGAACAGCAATTAGTTATCCGATATATGTGGCAATTGGCTTACTCCTTGGAATACCTGGTAATGCAATTGTGGATAATGCAATCCATCAGATTGCATTTGACAACCTAAAAATTGTTGGAGCAATTCTCATCAGCTTTAGTTTCTTAATTCTATTAATTCCTGAAGATAAAGCAATTAATTTTTCCAAGCGAATTACGACTTCATTTACGAAATTGATGCTTAAGTGCGGTCAAAATGATGTCTTGATAGATTCAACTTCCCATAGCTACAATAACATCGTTTCTTCTTCATCCAGTTACTTTTTCGTAGATTCAAAATACAATTCCGGCATAGCTGAGGCTTCAATATAAGAGAGCAGAAAATTGTAAAATTTTAAAGAAATGTTGAATAAACAAATAAGGAATTGATCATGCTGTAGCATAGATAAGATCACACACGTCGAAAGAAAAATGAAATCGCAGCTCACTTTTAATTTCTGTGTCACGCTATCCAAATATCAGTATTTCGCCTCCTTCAAGTAGTCGTAGTAGAGAGATGACAATACTATATCCATTTAGCAAACGAAATTCTAAACTTTTACGGCTGAAATGCATGTAAAATCAGTAATTATCACACTTGGACTTTACACAACATTATCGTTTTCGTAATCAGAAAATTTTATATATTATAAGCTAGCATATGAGTTCATAACTGAATCTTAACTGATGCCATTGTAAATGTATTAGTGGGTAATGATTAACTACTAATAATTCTTCAAAGTTTATTCTGATTTAAATGCCTTTCAGTCTACTTCCATCATCTTGAATCAGAAGGTCAAGATAATGGCAACTATTATACGTGTATATTAAACATTATCTTCATTACTGTGATTTACTATTTGTTTCTTAATTTATCTTTCTCAGTTCACGTAGCGTTGTACTTGTTGATATTCGGAAGAAATAAACGTAATAAAACATCAATGTGAAGGAATACAGAAACTATCTTATCTGTGTAATTTTCGGTACAAGTGTGTGTGATACATGCTATACCAAGTGCAGTCATAGCTCCTTAAATATTTACAGCGAATGCAAGCATATCGATGATATATAAGAATGTAATTAGTAGAGTGTGACATTATAGCGAAGCCATTTTTAAAGTCAATCTAGTAATTTACACTCAAAAGTGAAATTTATAGGTATTTATTTGCGTTACGAGGGATAACCTGTTTTTTGCTTCCCAAAACTGATTCAACATATAATTATCCGAGTCCATCTGCTAATCGAATACCATCGGCAGCCTCCAACGCTATTTCTAATGAATTTATTCGATACGATATAGATAGGTCTCAATTCACATAGTAACAGGGAAGGATAGATTTCAAAGTCAATGAACGAAAAATAATGTGAAGGCAAAATATGAAAAAGATGGTATTACTTAAGAAAAAACTTGCTCGTAATGATGTTATTTACTTATATTACTGAATTGCCCAATCATATTATGAATGCTACTATTTATTAGCAATAGCACTATTCCTTAAGTAGGCAGATTTAAGTTAATAAAATAATCTCTGTAAACGAATTATTGCGACTGGTAACGCGTTTTATCCGATGCTTTATGTTTATGAGCCCCTTTACATAACGATTCTACCCCTTCATAAGCGATTTTATAACTCTGATCTTTTAGGTTACTCCTAGTTATGAATTTTCTTAGATGATTTCAACTATGCAGATACGGTATGATTCTATTCGTATGTCATACGCTTAGATTAGTGATAATATGCGAGGACGTCTATAACGCTGAACATATAATATAAAGGATGTGATTCTAGTATTTCAGCTAACTACAGTAGTTATGTGTTTTAGTACATTAGTACGATAATAGCATAAATAAAGCTTATGTGGCGTGAAATAGTCGATCATGGTTAATAAAGCAATTGTAGATCATATTTTATAGCCTATGTTTAACGTATAGGCGACGAACCTTAAAAAGTGGTAGCAGACAAGCTATTACACTATTTTAAAATTTGGAGTTATCACCTAGAAGACCTACATTGGTTTGCAACGTAGAACCGACCCACCTTTTTAATCAGGATTGACCGGGAAGTAGCTGAGTGTCAAGAATGTTTACGCAGATTGTGAAATGCAGCTATTTTGGTGCAACTTATAATCTGTTAATTGAGTTTATTGTCTAGAAATATTCCACATAATGTGCTTGTGTAGTAATTTCTATTAATTACAGTAAGCACTACAGCTTGGTATTTATGTAGTAATATGTTATAAACTATGTAATTACCCTTTCGCATTATATGGTGTTGTTAGTATAATTCGAGTATTCTATAACCATATGGTTAAATATGTGAACATTGCTATTTTCTGCCATGACGCTATTGATGTAGTCATTCGATCTGTTTCTGAAAATAAAATATAAACAAATAATTACTTACTGCGTTATGGATGCATTGTAAAGTCATAGCTATTGTTAGCTATACCATAGCTGATATAACCGCTCATGAATCTAAGAGGTGCGGTATAATAAGAAATATGTGAAGTAATGTGTAATTGATCGTCCATGAAAGGCTTTAAGGATAGTTCGTAGCGTTATAGAAACTATTCAAGATTTTAAATTACTGAATATCACGTATTAGCTTGCAGACTATTCCACATTTATTATAAGCTACAAGATCCAAGTACATCTCGCCGATAAAAAGGATAAAATAAAATAGACGTAGAGGAAGACCAGCATCATATTATATTTCTTGCACTGAAACACATATTCTGGCCTAAAAAGTATGTACTAAATGTACTTCACTAATATTTATGACTTGATACATAAGACAAATCGGATGCTCGTTGTAAAAATTATTCCTTTACAATTTATAACCCTCCGTATCTTTAATACGAAATGATGCTACCCATGGAAAAATTTTGGTACTAATACATTCATTCGTCGGCAGCATCACTATATTTAAAAATATACCTAGAAACTAGTTTATTTCTTTGATGTTTCAACATACTCGATTACTCTGTTGTCATTTCAGCCTAATGATTTCGATAAAAAGTAACATACCGGTATATTGAAAGCAGTAAAAGAATTTCTTGCCCGAAAGAAAAAGCAGAAAATTTAGTAATTGTAATGGCTAGTATCAATTTCCATTCGCAAACAAATTGATTTCTAAATTATTGCTTTGTCATCAGATTAATGTCAACTTATAAGCAGAATTCACTCCACTCGTTTAAAATAGCAAAAAGATTCATAGATCTAAGTAAAGCCCTGAATGTAAGATCGATCTTTCTTATCGAAATTTTACCTCTAGCCCAGTAGAAGCATATGTACTGATAGAGATCAAAAATATTTTTGAATTATTATTAAGACGTACCAGTTGCTCATAACTATTTTGTAATGAAATACGTGCTTTATTAAATTCTATATGTACTCTGGGCTGTAGGATTTAAACATACTTAGATTGAATTTAAACTCTGTTAACTACGTATGCAATTGATCGTTGCCGATATTTTGAGTAATCACCGAGCCTAACCTATCATATAATCGTATTCTACGATAAACTATCAAAGAAATTATGATATTGAATGCTAATGTTCAAAGACTTATTTTATCTCTTGGATTTAATTTCACAGGTTCTAGCCCATAAATTATCTTATTTCATTACAATAAAATTTGTTAGTAACTTAATCCAATATGTCTGCTGAAATTAGTGGGCACCATCCGTACCAGCCAGAATCATTTAGTTATCAAAGATATTACAACAACTTCCTATTGCCATTGCACTTGCGTCCTACATCTTTAGGAATCGGCATCACCATTTCAGTTATTGGCTTTGTCAGTATCATCTTAGGTGGCATTGGATACGGCTTCCATGGGTATTGCTACAACCCTTCTGTTGTCATAGCATTAGATATATGGGTTGGGATTTCGGTAAGATGACTTAATTTTCGGTTAAATATGAATTCTGTTGCTAATTATCTTGATTCTATTGAGATTATAGAAACTAAAATATACTTATGAATAGTAAATTTTTGATATTATTGATTCTTGATGAATAAACTTTAGCATTCTATAATTTGATACTTTTAAATCTTGGCAGTATTTCCGTATTGATTCATATTTCATAAATAATAATTCGTATACCGACCGTGTAGTGCAATGAATATCGTACTGTAATCGGTGAACCGTCAAGATATCAGCAGACAAAAATAACAGGTCCATTTACAACTGGCCTAACATTAAATGATATTCATGAAGAATATTTAATTTCTTTAGTATTGCATTTGTGGAATTTTTGCAGCTACTATTCATTTTCATAAAGACAATCACCATTTGGTAAGATATATGCAATTGATTGATATATTCAAGTCTGATATGGCGTTACATACTTTTAAGTAATGCGACTTTTAATATAGATACCCTCGCCATAATTAGCTTTTAAAAGTGCCTTATTAATAGAATACTATATGGGCCTTGAATAACTAATAACGTTTGAATTTATTACAGATGAACTCTTACTATGCCTTTGTAATAATCAGCTTATTTTTCTCCATACTCCAATTTGGAATTTCATTGGCATCTATGTTTGCCCACAGTGCTCATTATTTGTATTGGCATAACATCGCCTCGATGTTTTTAGGAGTTGTTGTTTTTTCCTTAGCCTTAGCCATGATGATTATCCTTTCACGTACAATCTACTGCCGACCTGCTGAAAGTGTAAGTAAAAAATATTATAGTTTATTTTGTATTATGTGCTCATCACCTTCTATCAAGATAAATATTATGCAGTTTACACGCATCCTGGTAGTATTACCGCAAGATAATCAATGTCCTTCAGTTGCCATTTGCGTATGCCATAATATCGCATTAGTATTATAAATCATAAAGCTAGCTGCAACTCATTATCTATGCCACTATTATAAAATTGACTTTAATAAACGTTAACGATCACCAAATTCGACAGTTCTTGTGAATTTTATTAGACTTTCATAAAGTACCATATAAAATATGTAACAAACTGTTGTAATTGCTAATGGTTTAGGGGAACATACAAAATCAAACGGTAATATTCCAACCGTATCCTATTCAAACAGGTAAAATATTTCCTAGTTTTATGAATATTGCACTACTAAGGTAGCGATATACTGTACCTGTGCAACGATATCTTTACAGATTGTATGCGCATTTCTTAAATATTTTGAAGGCTGAAAATTCAAGTTGGATGTACTCTGCAGCTATTATAATTATTACTGTAATAGAGCATTTTATCTATGACTTTAAAATTTATTCAATTCCTGCTTAAAGCAAGAAAAGTTTTGCAGTTGATGAGGTTGTAAAAGTCATTAGAATCACTTTGCAATGTAATGATAACCTGGTAAGTATCTAATCCAGTTGTTTGTAGTTTAAAAACTTTGGTCAATCGTTCAAGAAAACTTATCTTAATTTAACCTAGCTACGGTCTATCAAGTTCCTTCACCACTACTATTGGTACTCGACCGTAATGAATGCCTGAATAAAGTCTACATAAAATCGCTTTCGTCTAATTACTACAACAATTTCATTTGCAATACTTAAGAACTATTCTATATTATAGTGCTAATTACTGCAATATCAAATATAATCACTGTTAGAAAGTTCAAAGTCGTGAACGTAAATTACTAAGATTCTGCTTTTCGAATGATATTATGTTCTAACAGAATTAAGTTTCTTACTTATTTTAAAATTGACACTATATAATCAGTGATCCTCTGAAAATAAGTATGAGCAATCGCTCTAATCAAAAATTTTAATTTTTTCCGACAGAAAATATTGATCCACCTGCTGCAAGTATTTATGCACAACCATCTCAAAATGGACAATTTATGATGTATCCTCAACCAGTGTCTGCTAATCCACCCCAGCTTGTTTAGTACACACAATTTAAAATATAATCTGCCAATAAATAGAAATCCTCAATAGTTATACATCACATTACTATGTTTTATCTGCATTTTATGAATAAATTATAACATTTCATTTTATTGTATATAAAGTAATGTGGCTTATTATTAATAAACCAATATATGAATTTGGACAACTTTCAATTAAAAGAATCTAATATTGATGATCTAGCAATATAGCAGTAATTACGTATCAGTATGATGCCAATATCTTAAAAACTAAAAGGAGTAATGAAGATAAATTGCTATTGTGACTAATCTGTACTTCCTATTATGTATGTGATATTCATAAAAATACGAAAGAACTTGATACTTCCTACTACTTAATTAAGTAGGTTACTAATTACACTTAGCAGCTGCTGTATCTCGGAATCATTTATAAATTGTTGGATAAATATCAACAGATACATTGTTTATGACATAGCCCAAGCCTTTAGATATAAAATCATCATACGATAACAATAACACTTTATTATTTTAAGACTTTTGGATACCACAATTAAACTACCAGCTGATGTGTAACCCCTGATATCAGTGTTTCCTTCTTGTGCACATATCTAGTGCCTAAACACAGACTGTATTGCTATAGAGGTTGTTTAATATTCATGTAAGCCAGAAATGTTATAATAAAACCGGTATTATATCATACGATAATAGTTAGACCATAACGAACAAACTTTAAATCTAAATCAAATCTGTATGAGAATAACATGATAATAAATCCTTTCATTATTAGTTAATTTTACCAAAAATTTAGTTGATTCTAGAGTAAAATAGATTTTTAATGCCAATAATAGTAACATTTACACTCGTAAGTATCGCTATAGGTGGATGGCCGAATAGAAGGTGCAGTAACAAATAAATTAAGAATTAAGGTTGGATAAGAATAATCCTTCAGGTTAATATCTTTTTCGACAGATCCTCAGTCGTTAGAAATTTGAAATCTCTTATATACGCCTAGGATTTCTAGTAGGATAAGTTTAAGTAATAGCTCACAAGGAGTAAATATGTCCATAAAGTAAATATAGATAGTTCAATCTAAGTTTTCAGCATTCATTGTATAAAATTGGTTGGTAATGTTAAACGTTACGGCATTCGAGAAGATTAAATATCTAAATTATTTTCTAGATTGGCCTTTCTGATGCGAAAACTTTGCGCTTAGCAAAGAAATTTAATTTGGTCGGCTTAAATCTATAAGTCTATACGTTAGAGAGCTTAAGCATGGCAAAAAGTCCAGTAATTGCATGTCTTGCTATCATAATTACTATTCCACAAGATGTATTATAATTTTGAGCTGCTATTAGCAAGTAGTTATTAAGTGGTGTTTCATGTTGAACTATGTTCGTAGCTTTTTTGGGAAGGAGTGCCGTACGAAATGTATATTTTGCTATATAGTTTAATTTTCAGTTATCAAATGTACTAGTTCAGAAACTAGTTACTATTGTCAATATGTGTCTTAGTAGACTACAACAAATCTAGATAAAATAGCCTGTAAATGTCTAGCGGATACCTAGTCATACAGACTATTACTCTCCATCGTTAAGGCATCAATTTCTTGATATTTCTAGTGTAAAGCATAACTTTTCCGTAATAGAACCTTCATGACCTATGTGAGCGTAAATGATGATTTCCATCACGAATTAATATCTTTAATTCTCTGAATACTAAATAATTAAAATAGAGCATATGATATCACTTATGCAGTCAATTTCGATATTTTCAAATATTATACTAATGCAATAAGGCTAAACTAGAGTTAGTTCACGTGACTGCATCGTACTTTTAGAATGTTCACGAATTCGTTGCTATAATACCTTTATTAATTGTAATACCTCTTATAACCGTATGTCAACATTAGATAGATCGACCAGATTTCATCATGCAGTAATTTTACACGCTATATTGTACGATATATTGACTAGCGCTGGTGATATTATTATAAAATTAAAATAATTTTTGCCGGCCGATATGTATTCATATTGTCATCTAAGAATATGTTAAACACCTGGGAAAGATGCTAAATCTTTAAGATTGTTTATTTTGGGCAGGCAAGACGGTAATTAAAACCCCTTATGGTATTATAACAATTACATTATTATAGCTTAGAGAATATAATGCGATTATGTATTTCATAAAAGCTAATAAAACTTACTGGTAAAAGTAAAGAGGAGTACAATTTCTTTGAGCTCACTAACATTGCATATGCTATTGAGAGAACTTCTTTAAAGTCATTTAAAAAAAACTTTTAACATTCGAAGAATACATCAGCTAAAACAAATTTTTTATTGTCAAAAATGCCTACGGAACTTGACCAAGAACTTAGTGATAAGCAGTTAAAGAAACTTCGCCGATTTGCTTATCCATCTTGCATGCCCAAACGATCTATACCTAAGCGAATTTGCCCAAGATCAAAGATTACCATTTTGATGATAATTTTGTCTGTCTTTTGCCTGCTTGGATGTCTTGTTTTCTCTATTGTTTTATTTAACAGAACCCCTGCCACATTAATATCGATCGATTTATGGATTACCTTGTTTGTAAGTAGATATTAATCTATGGATTTTCTTGATAAGGCCTATTTAACGTAATAGTACAAGTTTCAGTTAACCATATGGCTATTTTTTCAGTACCATGTAATTTATCATTATAAAATTGTGGTACTTTCAAATCCTAGATATCTATAGTATCGTTTTTCATTACAAATACAGAATTTATTCTATTCTAATTGATGAAATGCTAGGTGATCTACTGATATTCTTGCATTCTTCCTCAGTATATCTTTGGTGGAATCTTTGCTGTTATACTACGGTATAATGAAATTAACCAGCTAATGGTATGGATAGTTTGATTTTTATTATATCTTTAGTTGCATACTTGGGCCTATAATGACTCTAGACCTGCCCGAAAAGTTATATTTATTATGATCAATATAAAATCTGCTATAACACTTGTACGCACTTTTAAACTTTTCCAATTTTAGGTCAATCGTTTCTACGCTTTAAGTATAATCAGCCTGGTATTATCAGCAGTGCAATTTGGCATCCATTTCGCTATAATGACCACGTACAGATTTTACTATTAGATCTCTCCGGAAAGTAGTACTGATTGCAAGATCTCAAAGCACGATGATATATTAATTACCTAAAAATTGTCATTTCTTTTATGAAGTTTTCTTCACCGACACTGTACAGCTTTTATTTCTTTGTGACAGTATCGAAAGGCTCGTTTTGTATTATAGCTGAAGGTCCTAACTGTTTGCAAACTTTACAGCTTTGTTATAATATTGACTAAGTACTTTTCTGAGCTTTTTGATGGCAATTAAACTAAGAAATGGATAAAGTTAAATGTTGATAAAATAATATCTGAAGCGCTCACAGAGCATAAAAGCTTCCAATAAATCGTGTACTCTACTATCAGTTCATCTTGCTTTAAAATTTTTACTAAAGGCCGTATAAACTAAGATTTAGTCCAATAGCTTGCTATAAGCGAAATGCTGGTTGCCTAGTTCTGCATTACTAAGTCATGATAAAATTTATAGTAGCTTTGATGTTAATTTATCAACTTTACATGATAAATCATCATTGCACTAATTGATAGTACAAATGATGGCTGCGGCAGTGACCGGATAGCATTGAGATAATAAATTGATAATTCCATAACTCAACTAAAGTAAAGCTATACAAACTACATATTATACTATTATGACGACAATTGCAACTTAATTTGCAAAGATCAAATCGTTTTGTAGCTTTCAGAAATCAACCAATTTTTACCAAGAGAAATTACGCTAGATATAGTTCCGTACTCTAAGCTATAAATTCTATCAAAATTAAATAGTATTTATTGTATAAGATGCCGGCTAAACTTAAACTGAAAGTAACTACTTAGTTTGATATAACGAATTTATTTCGATGCGTTAATATCAGAATATGATTAATACGCGTATTCATCTAGCTATTATATTTACTGCTCTAAGTAATTCTATATTAATAACATAAATTTATCATTTCTTACTTTCATTGATATTTAGTAGAGCTTAGTTCTAAGTTCTCAATAAGCAGCAGCAGTTCCTAGATAGCAAGATTACAAGCTGTCTATCTGTCACCCATTAAGTTTCATGCATGCAGTCTTAAATCTACGGAAAATTGGTCATTTAATGACCTGTTCATGTTGCTTTGTATCTGTGATATATACCAATCACGAAATTCCAAATTTTAGAAAAATAAGGGCTTTATTGAATCTTATACAAAGATTAACTACACACAGCTCTACTCTGGCCGAATACTACTTCTAAAGACTTCTACAACGAACTAACAGAATAATCTAAAGTTGCATGCTTTTATACTTTTCGTAGTATTCGCAGCTACAATCTACATGGCAACCTTTTACCTTATATTACACATAGTTAAATTATTCTCAGTAAGACTATTCTACTGCGGACCATCATTAATCCAATATTGATACGACTACAGTACTTAAGTAGACATTATTCACACCAGCCAAAGTACAATGAATTAACCATATCCTAATATATGATTTACAGTTCTATTTTTACCTATAGCCTTATTAGTAACTCAACACCTTACTGTAAATAGTCGTCAGTACTCTAGCATAGAGTCTATACCACTACAGCCTATAGTTATAGCTACCAAATATCTCTTAGGATAAATATCTACCGTACATTATACTAAACATGGCTAACAGTCTACTATCACCAATACTAAGTTACATTACAGTATCTCTTGGCTCCTATAGTCGGATGGCTACTGCCACTGAAAAGGCATTTAAACATATAATGGTTTAAATCTCAGAGCCGTATCTCATAGTAGCAAATACATATGGCGATACTTAGTAAATTTATCAGATATAATTACAAAGGGTATCAAATTTAGCATTCTACCAGTATTTGGATACTTGAACCGTTGATCATCGTTTCTGGTGGAATTTTAGTAATGTGATAATAATTTGGT